GTTGAGTGAACAGGTTAAAATTTTTGGTGCAGGTTTCATTTCCAAGGTACTATAAACCCTATAATGACTAAATTTGCCTGGATGGTACATCTTAGGATGCATACTACCAGACTTGCTTCGGATGCTGAATCCGACCTACATTTTCTGGACGAGTAAACAGGTTAAAGTTTATGGTGCAGGATTCATTTCTAAGTAACTTTGAGCCCTATAATGACCAAACTTGCATGGATGGTACATCTAAGGGTGCATTCTACTAGGCTGGCTTCAGAAGCTGAATCTGACCTACATTTTCCAGATTAGTGAAAAGGTTAGTTTTTTATACAGGTTTCATTTCCAAGTAACTTTGAGCTCTATGTTGAACAAACTTGCATGGATGATACATCTTAGGATGCATATTAATGGACTTGCTTCAGATGCTGAATTCGACATAGGTACATTTTCCAGATAATAGACCTCGTAAAAGTTATGGGTGCAGGTCTATCACCAAGAAACTATAAGGCTTATATAAACCAAAGTTGCACAAATGATGCATCAAGGGATGAAAACTCTCAATCTTGCTTCAGATGCTGGATTTTAATTACATTTTCATGATGAAGAACTAGTTTTAAGTTTTTATATAGGTCTGTTCCAAAGTATCAAAATTGCATAAATTTGGATGTACACTTTTTGTTGGTTAATTGTGTGACTTAATTTGCCTTACTTAAAGACAACATTCGTTGAGGTGAGCTCTGTAATCTCTGATTACCTATGTTTTTTAATTTTAATTTCTGAATTTTCCTTAACATAAAGATAATTTTTTTAATCACAGATATACTTTCCATTTCTGGTCAAAATTTCTGCTTTATCCATTGCTTAACAGCGTGTAAACATCGTAGGTAATGTCCTCGAATGTATTTTCAAACGAAGTAGCCAAAATCTCATTGTAAATGGCTACTGGAAGTGATATTTGAATACTAAACTACGAAACAAATGAGGTCGGAATTTTTTTTCCCGGATTGGTCTCCGCAACACCAACTTTTTATTTTATCAAAAATACAATAAAATCGGCAATGCGGCTACCTCAAAACAGATGCGCGCGGGCCTGAGAACCAAGATTTCAATTTTATATTAAATAAATACTTGGAGTAACATTATTTAAAGTTGAATACATATTACAACCAATTTCAGAGAATAAAAATTAAGAATTGACCAGTAGATATTATCATTTTATTGAGCAAATGGCTTTAAAAAGGTGTTAAACCTGCTTCAAAAAAAAAAAAAAAAAAAGCCTGCCTGTCGTATTGAATTCTGATTTTTTTGGCCTGAGAAACTATTGATTAATTTTTTTGGCCTAATTGGTCAATTTTTGGGATATTACATGTATTTGTTGTTTAAACACCATGCCATTACCAAGTCTGTCCTGCATTTCTTTGATTATTTTAATTAAGTCATTGATTAGTAAACTGATTATAATGTGAATCTTCCCCTCTCTATCCGTTATAATTACAATGTACTTATCAAATTGTTATACCCCACACAACAAGTTGCCTGAGGTATAATGTTTTTGACCAGTCCGTCAGTCAGTCTGTCAGTCCTGTTTTTTGTCAGTGCAACTCCTCATAAAACGCTGCACAGAATTTCATGAAACTTTGCAGATATTTAGGACACAATGTTTAGAAGTGCATATTAGCAAGAAATTCCAATTCCTTTATTTTTTCCGGTAATTTCCACACTTTTCGACTTAGATTTTTGGCTATATCTTGAATATAGAGATGAACAGTTTGTCAGCACAACTCCTCATAAACTGCTGCACACAATTTTGTCAAACTTTGCAGATACTTAGGACACAATATGTAAATGTGCATATTACCAGGAAATACCCATTCCTTTATTTTTTCCAGGAATTTCAGCACTTCAAGTTTTGGGGGAGCATGGGGTATGTGAGCTTGCTCTGTTACAACGCGAAATGTAATAACAACGCGAAATGTAATAAACCTGGATTAACACGATTTTTAGATTATTACATTTTGCGTTATTACATTTTGCGTCCAGATCAACGCAATATGTAATAACGTCCTTTTTCGTTGTTACATTTTGCGTTATTTTATTTTTTGCACTGAAGACAATGCAAAATGTAATAAACAATATGTAATAAAACAAAACATAATCAATTTATTTGACTGCGTTTAACAAAAAAGATCATAAAATTGATTCAAATATATACATGTAACCAACTTGGGAAACACGCTGTTAAAATATTTAGAACTAAAACAATGAGACCAACGTTAGGGCTTTTACGGACATGAATACATCTAAATGTATCGTTTTTCTGACTCAGATTTTAGTTATATTGAATACACTGTACTTATTTATACAGAATTAATTTAACTTTGATTGGCATATTTTTGATAGTCTTATTCAATTTCTAACCAATTACACATATTTAATTACCAAAGATTGACCATAGGTTCATTAAAAGCTCTTGATATGCATATTCAGCATGTATATATTGGTTAACAAATTAGAAGTGTATGTGTGTGTCAAGCGAGGAGGGGCAGGGATAGGGTGGGGTGTTTACCTCGTATGTTTATTATTGCATTATTGTGGACATGCAGAAACAATCCATTTTATTATAGGATGGAAAGAAAGAGAGAGAGATAGAATTTTGTTTTTACTTGTCTGCAATGCTAAAGATTTGCATGGAACAGTATGGTATCATTATTGACAATAAACGCCTTCCCGCTATAATTTACACCTGCCAGTACAAATGAATAGTTTTATTTGGATTCATTGCATTTGTCTATAAAAAAAACAAAAGCACACTGGTCAATACCCCCAAACAACCCTGCCCACAGATGCACGTTTCTAATTTACAACACCTATAATTTGAAAACATTTATTTACTAGCAACTGATTTTAAATACATGTAGCTAATTAAATCAAAATATTATAAAATTTATTAACTGTATGAAATTGTGTATATCTATTTTTTAGCTCTACTGGTCAGAGACCAGAAGAGCTTATGCGATAGTAATGCGTCCGTCGTCCGTCCGTCCGTCTGTCTGTCTGTCCGTCTGTCTGTCTGTAAACAATTTTTCAAAATGCTACTCCTCCTACAGTTTTGGTCTGATTTCAATATAACTTGGCACACAAGAAGACTACACTAAGATACACAATTCTGTGTATCGGTTTTTGATTTCGATGAACGGTGTTGCCATGGTTACTAAAAATAGAAATTTCTGTGAAATTCTTTCAAAATGCTACTCCTCCTACAGTTTTAGTCTGATTTCAATATAACTTGGCACACAAGTAGACTACACTAGGATACATAATTCTGTGTATCGGTTTTTGATTTCGATGAACGGTGTTGCCGTGGTTACTAAAAATAGAAATTTCTGTGAAATTCTTTCAAAATGCTACTCCTTCTACAGTTTTAGTCTGATTTCAATATAACTTGGCACACAAGTAGACTACAATAAGATACATAATTCTGTATATCAGTTTTTGATTTCAATGAACGGTGTTGCCGTGGTTACTAAAAATAGAAAATTCTGTGAAATTCTTTCAAAATGCTACTCCTCCTACAGTTTTAGTCTGATTTCTATATAATTTGGCACACAAGTAGACTACACTAAGATACACAATTCTGAGTATCGGTTTTTGATTTCGATGAATGGTGTTGCCGTGGTTACTAAAAATAGAAATTTCTGTGAAATTCTTTCAAAATGCTACTCCTTCTACAGTTTTAGTCTGATTTCAATATAACTTGGCACACAAGTAGACTACAATAAGATACATAATTCTGTGTATCAGTTTTTGATTTCGATGAACGGTGTTGCCGTGGTTACTAAAAATAGAAATTTCTGTGAAATTCTTTCAAAATGCTACTCCAAATACAATTTTAGTCTGATTATAATATAAATGTGGCATGCAAGTAGACTGCACTAAGAACATAAAGAGACTTAATCAAGGATCATTATTCTATTTATTGCTGTTGAAAAGTTTCAATTTCCAACTGCTTAAGTACTTTTCTCTTCCTTTGCTATAAGTACAAACCAGTAGAGCTTCAGTCTCGACAGAGACTTCTGGTTTCCTTTTGTTTTATTTTCTTTTCATCGGCCACTACACTATTGAAAATAGTAGTCAATCTGGCTGACGAAAAAAGTGTGTTATTACATTTTGCGTTCCTGCCTTTTTCTTAAACTCGACGCAAAATGTAACAACGCAAAATGTAATAATCCAAAAATTGTGTTATTACATTTTGCGTTATTACATTTTGCATTGATCTCGACGCAAAATGTAATAACGCGAAATGTAATAATCCTCAAAAGTGTGTTGTTACATTTTGCATTATTACATTCTGCATTGATTTCAACGCAAAATGTAATAACGCAAAATGTAATAATCCAGGTTTATTACATTTTGCGTTGTTATTACATTTCGCATTGTAACATTGCTCACTTTTTCTTTCATTTTATAAAAAAAAAAACAACATTGTAAATTAAGCCAGAGTTTAGACTTCATATTGAATATAGTGAAAACGCAGAATGAGTTGGACATTTCTTCTGATTTTTTAAAAAATGTATCTGAGACTTGCATGTCTTATGGGTTCTTGTATAATATAAACAGTGTTCTGATAAATATGAACATATTATTTCTACTTGTAACATCTTCTTAACCTTGTTTATTTAAGGAGAGCTTACAATGTTGAAAAGTGCACAAAAGTTTTGATTCGATTAACCGATTAATCGGTCAGAAGGTCATGCGGATAACCGATTGGCAATTCTGTATTCGATTGCCATCCCTAGATTTTACAATATATTTATGTATATGAAATGAATTAATCTTTAAGTTTTATTAACTACTTTATTGTAGCAATTTTAAAGTACATGAACGTTACAGCATGAGCAGTTATGATTTAATTATTTAAAAAATAAAAGTACTTGTATGTTTCAGACTGTTAACAAATGCTTATAATTTAAATTATACATATCAAAAATAAAAGTACTTTTATGTTTCAGAGCCAACAGTTATAACCTGTATACCAAGCGCCGTTTGGAGGAAACGCCCAGGCCAACATTCAAGGAGATCGCAGAAGGGTGGAAGACGCTATCAGAGGGGGAGAAACAGGCATTTGCTCTGGAGGCAGAGAAGGTAAGATCAGGGCTGTCGTAAAACAGAGAAGGTAAAATCAGGGCTGTCGTAAAACAGAGATGGTAAAATCAGGGCTGTCGTAAAACAGAGATGGTAAAATCAGGGCTGTCATAAAACAGAGATGGTAAAATCAGGGCTGTCATAAAACAGAGAAGGTAAGATCAGGGTGTAGTAAAACAGAGAAGGTAAAATCAGGGTGTAGTAAAACAGAGAAGGTAAAATCAGGGCTGTCATAAAACAGAGAAGGTAAAATCAGGGCTGTCGTAAAACAGAGAAGGTAAGATCAGGGCTGTCGTAAAACAGAGAAGGTAAAATCAGGGCTGTCGTAAAACAGAGAAGGTAAAATCAGGGCTGTCGTAAAACAGAGAAGGTAAAATCAGGGCTGTCGTAAAACAGAGAAGGTAAAATCAGGGCTGTCGTAAAACAGAGAAGGTAAAATCAGGGCTGTCGTAAAACAGAGAAGGTAAAATCAGGGCTGTCGTAAAACAGAGAAGGTAAAATCAGGGCTGTCGTAAAACAGAGAAGGTAAAACAGAGAAGGTAAAATCAGAGAAGATAAAATTAGGGCTGTCGTAAAACAGAGAAGGTAAAATCAGGGCTGTCATAATACAGAGAAGGTAAAACAGAGAAGGTAAAATCAGGGCTGTCGTAACACAGAGAAGGTAAAATCAGGGCTGTCGTAAAACAGAGAAGGTAAGATCAGGGCTGTCGTAAAACAGAGAAGGTAAAATCAGGGCTGTCGTAAAACAGAGAAGATAAAATCAGGGCTGTCGTAAAACAGAGAAGGTAAAATCAGGGCTGTCGTAAAACAGAAAGTAAAATCAGAGCTGTCGTAAAACAGAGAAGGTAAAATCAGAGCTGTTGTAAAACAGAGAAGGTAAAGTCAGGGCTGTCGTAATACAGAGAAGGTAAAACAGAGAAGGTAAAATCAGAGAAGATAAAATTAGGGCTGTCGTAAAACAGAGAAGGTAAAATCAGGGCTGTCGTAATACAGAGAAGGTAAAACAGAGAAGGTAAAATCAGGGCTGTCGTAACACAGAGAAGGTAAAATCAGGGCTGTCGTAAAACAGAGAAGGTAAAATCAGGGCTGTCATAAAACAGAGAAGGTAAAGTCAGGGCTGTCGTAAAACAGAGAAGGTAAAATCAGGGCTGTCATAAAACAGAGAAGGTAAAGTCAGGGCTGTCGTAAAACAGAGAAGGTAAAATCAGGGCTGTCGTAAAACAGAGAAGGTAAAATCAGGGCTGTCGTAAAACAGAGAAGGTAAAATCAGGGCTGTCGTAAAACAGAGAAGGTAAAATCAGGGCTGTCATAAAACAGAGAAGGTAAAATCAGGGCTGTCGTAATACAGAGAAGGTAAAATCAGAGCTGTTGTAAAACAGAGAAGGTAAAATCAGAGAAGATAAAATTAGGGCTGTCGTAAAACACAGAAGGTAAAATCAGGGCTGTCGTAAAACACAGAAGGTAAAATCAGGGCTGTCGTAAAACAGAGAAGGTAAAATCAGGGCTGTCGTAAAACAGAGAAGACAAAATCAGGGCTGTCATAAAACAGAGAAGGTAAAATCTGGGCTGTCGTAAAACAGAGAAGGTAAAATCAGGGCTGTCGTAAAACAGAGAAGGTAAAATCAGGACTGTCTTAAAACAGAGAAGATAAAATTAGGGCTGTCGTAAAACAGAGAAGGTAAAATCAGGGCTGTTGTAAAACAGAGAAGGTAAAATCAGAGAAGATAAAATTAGGGCTGTCGTAAAACACAGAAGGTAAAATCAGAGCTGTCGTAAAACAGAGAAGGTAAAATCAGGGCTGTCGTAAAACAGAGAAGGTAAAATCAGGGCTGTCGTAAAACAGAGAAGGTAAAATCAGGGCTGTCGTAAAACAGAGAAGGTAAAGTCAGGGCTGTCGTAAAACAGAGAAGGTAAAATCAGGGCTGTTATAAAACAGAGAAGGTAAAGTCAGGGCTGTCGTAAAACAGAGAAGGTAAAATCAGGGCTGTCATAAAACAGAGAAGGTAAAATCAGGGCTGTCGTAAAACAGAGAAGGTAAAATCAGGGCTGTCGTAAAACAGAGAAGGTAAAATCAGGGCTGTCATAAAACAGAGAAGGTAAAATCAGAGAAGATAAAATTAGGGCTGTCGTAAAACAGAGAAGGTAAAATCAGGGCTGTCGTAATACAGAGAAGGTAAAATCAGAGCTGTCGTAAAGCAGAGAAGGTAAAATCAGGGCTGTCGTAAAACAGAGAAGGTAAAAATCAGGGCTGTCGTAAAACAGAGAAGGTAAAATCAGAGAAGATAAAATTAGGGCTGTCGTAAAACAGAGAAGGTAAAATCAGGGCTGTCATAATACAGAGAAGGTAAAATCAGGGCTGTCGTAAAACAGAGAAGGTAAAATCAGGGCTGTCATAAAACAGAGAAGGTAAAATCAGAGAAGATAAAATTAGGGCTGTCGTAAAACAGAGAAGGTAAAATCAGGGCTGTCGTAATACAGAGAAGGTAAAATCAGAGCTGTCGTAAAGCAGAGAAGGTAAAACCAGGGCTGTCGTAAAACAGAGAAGGTAAAATCAGGGCTATCGTAAAACAGAGAAGGTAAAATCAGAGAAGATAAAATTAGGGCTGTCGTAAAACAGAGAAGATAAAATTAGGGCTGTCGTAAAACAGAGAAGGTAAAATCAGGGCTGTCGTAAAACAGAGAAGGTAAAATCAGGGCTGTTGTAAAACAGAGAAGGTAAAATCAGAGAAGATAAAATTAGGGCTGTTGTAAAACAGAGAAGGTAAATTCAGGGCTGTCGTAATACAGAGAAGGTAAAATCAGAGCTGTCGTAAAACAGAGAAGGTAAAATCAGGGCTGTCGTAAAACAGAGAAGGTAAAATCAGGGCTGTCGTAAAACAGAGAAGGTAAAATCAGGGCTGCCGTAAAACAGAGAAGGTAAATCAGAGAAGATAAAATTAGGCCTGTCGTAAAACAGAGAAGGTAAAAATCAGGGCTGTCGTAAAACAGAGAAGGTAAAATCAGGGCTGTAGTAAAACAGAGAAAGTAAAATCAGGGCTGTCTTAAAACATACACAGCTTATATTGTGGTGTACTAACCAGTCAATATCTACATCCTTTGAAAATACAGTGTATTAATTGTACATCAAGTGAAGCATTTATCATCTTTGTGAAACTTAATATTCTACAGAGGTAGAAAATATCCAAATAACAAACATTTCTACTATTTATTTATAGAATGTTTTGATATTTGTCTACACTGGTTTCATTTATTCCAGCTGAACCAGGAGGCAGAGAGAAACTTGGAGAGGTTCCTGAAAACTCTGCCTCCAGAGAAAAAACAACAGTTTTTATCTGCCAAGAGTGTTAAATCAGCTAAAAAAGCCATCTCTGAGGTAATATTACCAGCAGCAGTAAAATGTAGGAGTGGTGTGGCAGCAGCAGTTGCATACACAAGTCATTTGTCAATTTTATAGCATTTTTATATCACTTCAACAAAGTTTGGGAAGCTTATGTGATACCCTTGGCGTCGGCGTCGGCATCCCAGGTTAAGGTTTTTGGGGCATTTTTCTTTTTATGTACTTTTGTGGCCTATTTTTATCAGACATGCATGGAAGATGCTTCTAGTGTGTTTTATGGTACCAGACATGGTTCAGATACTCTAAATTTCAGCAAAGGAATGACCAAGTTAATGTTTCTGTAGCAGATAAACATTTTTGGTGCAGTTTTTGTGTAGGTCTCACTTCCAAGTAACTATGAGCCCTATGATGACCTAAGTTGCATGGATGATACACTTCCAGGCGTATTGCTTCAGATGCTGGATCTGATCCTCATTTTCCAGACGAACAAGCAGGTTAATGTTTTTTTGGTGCATGTCTCACTTGCAGGGGTGTTACATCTAAGGATGCATACTACCAGGCTTGCTTCAGATGCTGTATCTAATGTAAATTTTACAGATGTGTGAACAGGTTCAAGTTTTTGGTGCAGATGTGATTTCCCAGGGAATTATAAGCCTTATAATGACCAGGCTTGCTTCAGATGCTGGATCTAATTTACATTTTTCGGATGAGTGAACAGGTTAAAGATTTTTCTACAGGTTTCATTTCCCAAGTAAATATAAACAGTATGTTGACAAAACTTGCATGGGTGATACATCTAAGGATGCATACTACCAGGCTTGCTTCAGATGCTGGATCTGACTTCAATTTTACAGATGAGTGAACAGGTCAAAGTTTTATGATCCTAAAGCTAATGATCCTGACTGACTTTGTTGAGGGTTTTTTCTGTTTTCTATCTTGATAAAAACAAAACAAAACAAAACAATACCATAAATATCTTCATTGTAATTGAGAAGAGCTTTTTTTTTTATTTTCAGTTTGATGATGCTCCAAAGATACACCAGTAAGTGTACACATCTCTTGATTTAAATCAGGTTTTCTTGTTACATCATTGTGAATTAAAATTTGATCATCTCTGACATCTGATAGAAATTAATCAGGATAAAAACTAGTGAGTAAATTTATATCTTCTGTGTTGCAGAGCAAATGGCTATAATATTTTCACCAAAGCAAATAGAGACGAAGACCCGAAAATAAGTTTTAAAGAAATTGCGGAAAAGTGGAAACAGCTTTCAGAGGGAGAACGGAAAACATATACAGAGGAAGCTAAGAAGGTAATCAAGCTAGCTCATAAAATCAGAGCGAGAATGGCAGAAATAAACAGAGGAAGCCAAGAAGGTAATGAATCTTACTTATTAAATCAGAGTCAGAATGGCAGAAATATACAGAGGAAGACAAGAAAGTAAACAAGCTAGCTCGTTCAATCTTTTGTAACATACAGGTATTGCTATTGCATGTGATGAGGATTCATGAGCACTATACGTTACAGACCAATAATTTGACTTCATCAAGTTTGGTTTATGTATTGGGATTAAGATCTACTTGTATTGTTTGTTTTGTTTTTTTTTTAGGTCAATGAGCAGTCCAGACTGGAATTCGAAACATACAGACAAAATCTGACACCAGAGAAGCAGGCCAGATTCAACAAAGAGTTTGAGGTAAGACTGTAGGGTAAAAGACTGATAGGGACACAAGCTGTAACTGATAAAGATACAAGCTGTCAATGATGAGGACACAAGCTGTTACTGATAGGGACACAAGCTGTTAGTGATAGAGACAAGCTTTTACTGATAGGGACACAAGCTGTTACTGATAGAGACACAGGCTATTAATGATAGGGAAATAAGCTGTTACTGATAGGTACACAAGCTGTTACTGATAGGGACACAAGCTGTTACTGATGGAGACACAAGCTGTCACTGATAGGGACACAAGCTGTTACTAATAGGGACACAAGCTGTTACTAATAGAGACACAAGCTGTTACTGATAGGGGCACAAGCTGTTACTCTGTTACTGATAGGGACACAATCTGTTACTGATAAAGACACAAGCTGTTACTGATAGGGACACAAGCTGTTACTGATAGGGACACAACCTATTACTGATCGGGGCACTAGCTATTACTGATAGGGGAACAAGCTGTTACTGATAAAGACACAGTATGTTACTGATAAAGACACAATATGTTACTGATAGGTACACAAGCTGTTACTGATAGGGACACAAGCTGTTACTGATAGGGACACAAGCTGTTACTGATAGGAACACAAGCTGTTACTGATAGGTACACAAGCTGTTACTGATAGAGACACAAGCTGTTACTGATAGGGACACAAGCTGTTAAAAATTATTATTTAAACAGCACACAAAATGTTGTATCCATTGGGATGTCAATGAGTAAGGCAATCCTAGGGTGAGTTGTTTTCAGGGGATAGAGGTTGCAATGTCTGTACCCTTATACATTCAGTGTGATAGATTAAAGAATAGAAAACATTCAGATGAATTATAAGGTCTTTGAACTTTGATCATATTCATCTTAACCTACTGTGAAATCACAAATTTTCGTGAAGGTCTAAATTTTGTTGTTTTTGAGGTATGATGAGACCAACGAATTCATGTCCATCACGGAATGTAAAATCTTACATACAAGGTAATCATTAATTTTTGATCCACGAAATCAAATCCCCACAAACCAAGAGATTTTCTCCAAACCACAAAAATTTGACCCCACGAATATATGTGATTTTAGAGTATATATATAAAGAGGGTAAGTGTATTACACACACTGATTCACCATATTCAGCAATCTGATGTATTCTATACTTTTTTTTTCATAAACAGAAAAACATCAAAAGAGTCAGTGAAAGTCAGAGGCCTAAGATTCCCAAGCCAAAGCCACCCCCCAAACTTAAAGAGAGGGAATTAAAGAAGGCCGAGATTCAGTACATGAAGGAGGAGAAGGCAGAGGCAGTGAGAGAGAACCCAGACACGGATGAGGACGATATTATGTTAAGATTGTCTGAGGCATTCCGCTCCCTACCGTATAAAGAACAGGTGAGTGTGAGGCATTCTGTAGCTTATAATACTAAGAACAGATGAGTGTGAGGCGTTCTGTAGCTTATAATACTAAGAACAGGTGAGTGTGAGGTGTTCTGTAGCTTATAATACAAAGAACAGGTGAGTGTGAGGCGTTCTGTAGCTTAAAATACAAAGAACAGGTGAGTGTGAGGCATTCTGTAGCTTATAATACTAAGAACAGGTGAGTGTGAGGCATTCTGTAGCTTATAATACAAAGAACAGGTGAGTGTGAGGTGTTCTATAGCTTATAATACAAAGAAGAGGTGAGTGTGAGGCGTTCCGCTCCCTTCCATACAAAGAACAGGTGAGTGTGAGGTGTTCTGTAGCTTATAATACAAAGAACAGGTGAGAGTGAGGTGTTCTGTAGCTTATAATACAAAGAACAGGTGAGTGTGAGGTGTTCTATAGCTTATAATACAAAGAACAGGTGAGTGTGAGGCGTTCCGCTCCCTACCGTACAAAGAACATGTGAGTGTGAGGTGTTCTGTAGCTTATAATACAAAGAACAGGTGAGAGTGAGGTGTTCTGTAGCTTATAATACAAAGAACAGGTGAGTGTGAGGTGTTCTATAGCTTATAATACAAAGAACAGGTGAGTGTGAGGCGTTCCGCTCCCTACCGTACAAAGAACATGTGAGTGTGAGGTGTTCTGTAGCTTATAATACTAAGAACAGGTGAGTGTGAGGTGTTCTATAGCTTATAATACAAAGAACAGGTGAGTGTGAGGTGTTCTATAGCTTATAATACAAAGAACAGGTGAGTGTGAGGCGTTCTGTAGCTTATAATACAAAGAACAGGTGAGTGTGAGGCGTTCTGTAGCTTATAATACAAAGAACAGGTGAGTGTGAGGCGTTCCACTCCCTACCGTACAAAGAACATGTGAGTGTGAACTTATAATACTAAGAACAGGTGAGTGTGAGGTGTTCTATAGCTTATAATACAAAGAACAGGTGAGTGTGAGGTGTTCTATAGCTTATAATACAAAGAACAGGTGAGTGTGAGGCGTTCCGCTCCCTACCGTACAAAGAACAGGTGAGTGTGAGGTGTTCTATAGCTTATAATACAAAGAACAGGTGAGTGTGAGGTGTTCTATAGCTTATAATACAAAGAACAGGTGAGTGTGAGGTGTTCCGCTCCCTTCCATACAAAGAACAGGTGAGTGTGAGGTGTTCTGTAGCTTATAATACAAAGAACAGGTGAGTGTGAGGCCTTTTGCTCCCTACCGTACAAAGAACAGGAGAGTGTGAGGTGTTCTGTAGCTTATATTACAAAGAACAGGTGAGTGTGTGAGGCGTTCTGTAGCTTATAATACAAAGAACAGGTGAGTGTGAGGTGTTCCGCTCCCTTCCATACAGAGTACAGGTGAGTGTGAGGTGTTCTATAGCTTATAATACAAAGAACAGGTGAGTGTGAGGTGTTCTGTAGCTTATAATACTAAGAACAGGTGAGTGTGAGGTGTTCTATAGCTTATAATACAAAGAACAGGTGAGTGTGAGGTGTTCTATAGCTTATAATACAAAGAACAGGTGAGTGTGAGGCGTTCCGCTCCCTTCCATACAAAGAACAGGTGAGTGTGAGGTGTTCCGCTCCCTTCCATACAAAGAACAGGTGAGTGTGAGGTGTTCTATAGCTTATAATACAAAGAACAGGTGAGTGTGAGGTGTTCTGTAGCTTATAATACTAAGAACAGGTGAGTGTGAGGCGTTCTGTAGCTTATAATACAAAGAACAGGTGAGTGTGAGGCGTTCTGTAGCTTATATTACAAAGAACAGGTGAGTGTGTGAGGCGTTCTGTAGCTTATATTACAAAGAACAGGTGAGTGTGTGAGGTGTTCTGTAGCTTATATTACAAAGAACAGGTGAGTGTGAGGTGTTCTGTAGCTTATAATACAAAGAACAGGTGAGTGTGAGGCGTTCTGTAGCTTTTATTACAAAGAACATTTACAGCTAAAGTAGTCTCAAAAAGTTTCAAAATAAGGTGTTAGGTCCACTCATTCTTTCTCCTGATATTATCTCGCCAGACTGTCTGTGTTCAGTTTAAACTCTGATCAGATTCAGCCCCTGTATCCCCGTGCCATAAGAATATGAAAAGACATGACTACCACTGTCTCAAATTGCTCATTGTTCATTGCAGGCAGAGTATCTCAGAAAATATGAGGCGGAAGCCAATGAGCAGAAGAAAATTACTGAGTTTTAGTAAGTATACATGTTATTATTTAATGTAAGTAATCTAAGGTTCTTAGATGTGTCCTGTGTAAAGCTCTAACAACCAGTTGATAAATCTATAATGTAATATTAGTTATAATAAATGCCTACACTACAGAAAATGTTTATACATCTAATATTTATATGCTAAGGAATGGAAAAAACATGGAAATTTTGAATAAGGTTAAGATGCTTTTCTTGCATTCTAAAAGGTTTATGATAATAGGACAATATTTTAAGGGTGTATCATGTGGGCCCTTTATTATCTGATTTTATGCCGTATATTTTACTTTTATTGACTTTTTCCTTTCATTTTTTGGCAGCAAGAGTAAGCACATTGACTCTCCAAACCCACCCAAGGTACTGATTTAAAAAAAATGGAAAAATATATTTACCATGTTTACTCTTTTATTAAATATATTTACCATTTTTACTCTTTTATCAAAGGATATGCTTATCAAACTTTGTCTTGGCAGTATCCTTTTTTTTTTTCAATAAAGTTCTTCTTTCATTAATCAATAGATTTACTAAGTTATCACAAATAAAATGCAATGAGTATGTAAATTAAAATTATAAAAACTACATTTTAAAATTAAAGCAAACTGCAGAATTTCAATAAAAGATGCAACAAAAAATAGGAGGGTATTCAAGAGAAAAGGCATCAAAACTTTATTAAATAATTGAGAAAATGTATTTAAAAAAAAAAAAAAAAAAATTATTAAAAAAAATTATTTGTACAAAGGTTAAAGCATGATTGTTCTTTTACCAGGAAAAGAAGCCTCATTCCTCAGGGAAAGCACTCAAGTCAGATGACTTGTCAGTGAAGAAGATCGTCAGAGAGGAGAGTGATTCGAGTTCTAGTTCTGACGACTCCTCAGAGGAGGAAGAAGTCACCGCGAAAAAACTATCACAGACATCACCGAAAAAATCAACTCCAGCCAAAAAATCCATACTGATGTCACCTAGTGTTAAGGTAAGAATCGAATCAAGGCCACACCAGGCCTTAAAGTAAGAACAAGGGCTGCTAGCTTGAATGTTTGTGCTTGTTGCAAATTAAAAATACATGACATCACACTTAAATCTTCAACATTCAAATTTGTTAGCACAAACTTTATTCATTGGGCTTTAAGCGAAATAATGGTAAACTGACGTGTTTTAAAGTTCTGAGGACCCTAGCTTTTATCACTGTACCTAAAATTACAGTATTCTTTAAAAGTAAAGATTTATTGTTTCCATCACTGTATAGAATGGTTGTTGCGGCAGCGTTTTTCTTTATTTTGAATTTCTTACTATTAGATTTTTTCTTTAGATGAATCGGAGGAAATCAGAGAGCAGCAGTTCTGAGTCAGACTCCGAGTCTTCAGATGATGACAAAGACAAGAAGAAGAGGGAGATGTCACCAGTCCTCCCTGTTATTGTATGTATAGCTCGTAGAAAGGAACATTTAGTTTTTCCTCTTGACCAATCATAGATTTGCTAACATTTTCTTTGACCAACCAGATTGCATATTATAAAGCATGTGTAACTGTGAATGTAAACATGGCAGATGCCAGTGCAGTTCCAAAGAGACTGAACTTCCTTCTTTAGTATATACAGTAGTTGAGTATTATTGTTTAGTAACATTGTTGTTCATTTTTAGCTCACCTCGACGAGTCGAGATGAGCTTATGCTATATCCCTGGCGTTGGCGTCGGCGTTCCAGGTTAAGTTTTAGGAGCAAGTCCATACCCAAGTAACTATAAGCCCTACCTGAACCAAACTTGCATGGATGATGCATCTAGGGGTGGACACTACCAGACTTGCTTCGTATGCTGGATCTGACCTATATTTTCATTCCCAAGTAACTATAAGCCCTACCTGAACCAAACTTGCATGGATGATGCATCTAGGGATGGACACTACCAGACTTGCTTCGGATGCTGGATCTGATCTATATTTTCCATACAAGAAACCAGGTTAAAGTTTTGGGTACAGATCAATCCCAATGAACTTGAAGTCCTTGTTTACACTATACATGTTTTTCATGCTACACGCGTAGAAATGTGTATATGCCATGTAAGGGGTTAAACACAACTTGCAAGAATATTGTTGTTGGGATAAATACTAAAAATTAAGAAAATATGATGTGAGATTTGCATTACTTACACTGATAACATTTGTCGAGGTGAGCTTCATAATCTTTGATTACCTATGCTTAAACAATTGTTAAGCTGTTACAAAATAATTATAATGTTTTGTTACACATGAGTATTAATATTGGATGCTGACAAGAGCTAAGGTATCAAACATTTTGTAAAATCCCTGCTTGAAGTTTGTTAGGTGCAACATGTAGCAACTAATAATTAGATAGGTGCTATTGCCCTTTAGACAGGTGCTATATAAAGCTTTACTTATACAACCCTTTTATCTAATTTCAGAAGCAGAGTCCACGACAACCAAGCAGCCCAGCAAATAGACAACCCAGCAGCCCAAGGAAGAGGAAACCTTCTACGTCCTCCTCTTCCTCCTCTTCTTCTTCTTCCAGTGAGGAGGATGAGGGAAGTAAAACAGTTGTGAAGGTAACACAGACATGTTTAATCAAAGTTTTCAGATTTAACAAAAATTTCAAAAGATTTCTTAAAGTTAAGATATGACATTAAATATATTAACGAAAAAACTGCCCCCTATTAGCAATTATAGAAGTATCTGGGGCGGTTAATAGGGATTTTACAGAATAAAGCCTTTATCTATATGACATGTTTATCTAATATCAGGGGAAGAGTCCACAAAAGCCCAGCACACCCAGGAAGAGGAAACCTTTTTCTTCTTCCAGTGAGGAGGATAAGGGAAACGAAACAGTTGTCAAGGTAACCAGACATGTTTAATCAAGGTTTTCAGACTTTACAAAAATTTCATTGAAGACCTGAGCAGACATATACAGTGGAGCCTCATTTATCCGGACGCTTTGGTTCCTAATCAATTTGTCCGGGTATGTGAAGCATCCGGATATCTGAATTACCAGTTAATCAAGACAATATATTAAGTTTTAAAAATTCCGTTCCCATGAAAAGTCGTCCGGATACTGAAGCATCTGGATATCTGAAGGTCCACTGTACTTAAGCTACATTGTCTATTGGACAGGTGCTATACCGGAAAATTCCTATTAAACACCTTCTAGGTCTTTTTCTATTGTCAGGAAATAAGGTCCCCATGTACAGTGAATAAAATCATCTAGCATTGAAAGTCCGCCATAATTTGACGAAAGTGAAAATGAAACTTGGTTATTGAGTAACTTGGTTATTGAGTAACTCATGCTTGAAGTATTCCTGAAAGTTTAAGATTTTTATAACAACCTTATCATAATGTATTTTTGAAAGTGAAAATTACCTACAAAATTCGTTCTCCTTATTTTATTCTATATTTATTATATATTAGGTATAAAGCCTTTATCTACCGGTATATGACACATTTATCAAATATCATGGGCAGAATATAGAGATTTTAAGGTATAAAGCCTTTATCTATATGACACGTTTATCTAATATCATGGGCAGAATATAGAGATTTTAAGGTATAAAGCCATTATCTATATGACACGTTTATCTAATATCAGGTGAATAGTCCACAAAAACCCAGCACACCCAGGAAGAGGAAACACTCTTCTTCCTCCTCCTCTTCTTCTTCCAGTGAGGAGGAAGAGGGAAATAAAACTGTTGTCAAGGTAACCAGACATGTTTAATCAAGGATTTCAGAATTACGAAAATTTTGTAAAAGACCAAGCCTACAAGTACATGTTAAGTGTGTAGGAAAAGAAGTACCGTAATTTTTGGGTTATAGGTCGATGGGGTATATAGGTCGAAAGGCTCATTTTCAGCCTTAATTTTTGAAAAATTCTAAGATAGGACGAACTTACTATATAGGACGAGGCTTTGTTTCCCGTTTTCTAAAGATTCTTACGCAGATACAACGTATCAGAACAGGTAAACCCCTAGAATTACCGGGGTTATTCCGTGACATAAACGTATCAAGAAATTAAACAGGTATTTTAATGAGTACAGAATTTAAATAAAGTTTTTTTTTTAAAAAAGTAGCTTAAACTTCTTTGAATTGTGTTACTACTTATCTTTTTCCAACTTGCCTGTTCAATGCCTCCGTAGTTTCACACCGTTGTTATAATAAATCAAAGGCATAAATAACACGTAAGTACATTATTATTTTACAGCTATAATATTCGGGAAATACCCGAGACCAAAGAATAGTAATTCCGATTTCAGAACAACTTCGACACATTCCTGTTTACTTTATTCAGACATTATTTACCGGTGGACGACAAATACTTCGATGTCCGCCATTTTTATTTTTCTTCTCCAGGGATTCGCTAAAACACGCAAATGACCATTGAATGTATATATCAAGCAACAGTAAAGAATTGAAATCATATTAACACTCTAATAAGTTTAATTTATAAATTTAATTGAGAGTACATTCAGAATTTGACTGTCAACATGAATTTCACGGCTTTGTTTGTTCAATGATGTGTAACACTAATACCCTATAATGGCACGTGGGTTTGTTATAATCATGCCCCGCAGGCATTTATACCAACTGAACACAGGTGTTACACCTTTGTGTACACAGTGTAAATCCCTTTATCTTTCAGACAATTAAATTCTGTTAGAAGCCAATCTTTGCATGCCGGTAATTCAATGTAAATTATATTTCTGTGACCCGTATTTATTGCTAATTCTTTGCTTAAGACAATAAAAAAATATTTTTAATATACTATTTCAATTTATCGCTACTAATAAATGGTAAAAACACTACAGTTGTGATCTTGAAAATTTTTCCGTATTTTAAATTTTGATACGGTTGCGGTTTTACTTTTAGTAAACGGTAGCGACTTCCTAACTTCACAAGATGTATACCGCATGATGTTAATGGATAATACGCTGAGGAATTATTTAACAGGTCCAGGAAAATCACTATATTTACCTATATAGCTAAATCTACCTATATAGCTTTATTTACCTATAAAAAAGCTATTTTAGAGTAAATTTTTGTTTTATAAAATGCAGACAAAAAGTCGCATTATGAGGCAGTATTAGTTTTCAACTTTAAAATGGACTGAAAACAATTCACCAAAGACCCACTCCTAAAAATGTTTCTCCTATTGTGCAATTGCAATCAAAGATCTAAAAGTTTTGGGGCTATGTGTAACAGTTAAACTGTGATTAAGCAGCTACTTTAACAAAGAAAAGCAGTTTTGGTCAACAAGATAATTGATTGGTAATAATTCAGCACAATGCAAGGTAATCACACTTAGTCATGCCTCACCGCACTTCCAGTGAGCCTTGAGTGAGGGACAGCTATCCAAACAATAGAAATGCATTTTTTGGCTAAAAAGTGTTTGAGGCAACGTTTTTCCTATCTATGCCCTAGGTTGTTTTTATCAAACCTTGTTAAAAAAATATCAGCCATTATTTTCATGCGACTTTTTGTCTGCTTTTCACAAAATAGAAACTTATTCTAAAATAGCTAAATAAAGCTATATTTTATAGGTAAATAAAGCTATATAGGTAGATTTAGCTATATAGGTAAATATAGTGATTTTCCTGGACCTGTTTAATAGATGAAGCAATGTTGTTTTCTTTTGTCATCAACGGATAATTAATGGAATTTATTTTGTAAGAAAGCTATAGAATAAATATTTTATTGTTTACCTGGGCATTAATTTTTCTGCGTAAAATAATGAAAAAAGTTATGAAAGTGGCACAGATTTGCTTTGAAATTGACGTAAATTTTATTGATTTTGGGGCATTTTTCGTAAACTTGAGCCTTAGAAAGGTCGAATTCGTATATTGGGCGACCCCAGCGGTTCTGAGAAAAAAAGTATCGACCTATAACCCGAAAATTACGGTATATTGATTTAAAAGAGGATAAATAGTCATTTGTATAATTCTTAGTTTTTAAGTAAATACACAATCTAGGGGCAACACAAACCAGTATTTATATTTCATTACCTCCCACTGCATATGTTGATCATTTTTCAGAAAAGTCCGAAGAAGATTGTATCACCTCGAAAGAAAATGTTCTCCTCTGTCTCTGAGGACGAAACTGACGACACCTCAGAGAACGACAAAAAGGATAAACAGGGCTCCCTGAAGGTAGATAACACTTCCAGTGTGAAGACTACCCCCTTCATCTAATCCTAATCCAAGGCTTGGGACTTTCAGAATTTTTATACCCCCCGCAAACGAAGTTTGGGGGGGTATATAGGAATCACCTTGTCCGTCTGTCCGTCTGTCTGTGCAAACGTGTCCGGTCCATATCTTTCTTATGGAGGGACATTAGAATCTACTACTCCACACAAAGATTGCCCATGACCTAAGGGTGTCATGACCTTGACCCAAGGTCATTTGGGGAAGTTCAAGGTCACTGGAAGAAAAAGTTCATAATTCGTGTCCGGTCCATATCTTTCTTAAGGATAAACTTGGTAGGTTTTCATTTCACACAAAGATTGCCCATGACCCAAGGGTATGTCATGACCTTGACCCAAGGTCATTTGGGGAAGTTCAAGGTCACAGGAAGAAAAAGTTCATAATTCTTTCCGGTCCATATCTTTTTTGTGGATAAACTTGGTAGGTTCTCATTTCACACAAAGATTGCCCATGACCCAAGGGTATGTCGTGACCTTGACCCAAGGTCATTTGGGGAATTTCAAGGTCACTGGAAGAAAAATTTCATAATTCATGTGTGATACATATCTTTATTATGGAAAAACTTACTTCTGAAAAAACCCGGCGGGGGGTATTTTGTCCCGTTTGGACAGTTCTAGTTTTTTCTACATGTATATTGGCCCCATATTTTGGAGATTTTTTTTTTTATTTTAAAGATCAAATCTGTTGCTGGTTTTAAATTTGTAAACAATTAATTTAATTCAATTGTAAAACATCTGCATAAAAATATCATTCAAAAAGTATTTTTTTTAAGTTTAATACATATTTTAGATTAAGGTGAGAAGAAAGTTATTCTTAAGGTTTCACTCTGTCAGTCCTTATTTGTAAATTTCTAAGATTACCCGCCGGGACATTTTTTTTCTTCACATAATGTTCCTGTATATATCAAGATAAAAATGTAGCCAATTGTAATCTGAATTGTTTGGAAAGTTTCTAACTCATACATTTGTAAAATTTGACTGAATAAATTTTGTAGAATTATCCTACATTGATTTCCATTGTACAGTAAATTTCATTCTTATTTCTTAAGAATTTTGGGACAGCTGTTTAGTTGGGTTTTTTTGTCTTGGTCCTCTCTTTATACTGAATTTCTCTCAATTCCAGTCTCCTTTTCCTCAGAAGATGAAAACAACAAGCAGCCTTAAGGCTCTCAAAAAGAAGAAGTCCAAGTCAAACTCTGGGAAGGGAATCCCCCAAACCTTATAGAATCATATGACACTGAGGCAGCCTCAATAAAGGAAGAGAAAGATCCTTAGAGAAACAAACATTGTGTGACTAATACCAGGGTTATGTGACACTGAAAACATTGTGTGACTAATACCAGGGTTATGTGACACTGAAAACATTGTGTGACTAATACCAGGGTTATGTGACACTGAAAACATTGTGTGACTAATACCAGGGTTATGTGACACTGAGGCAGCCTAGATGAAGGAGGGGAAGGACCCATAGAGAAACAAACATTGTGTGACTAGTACCGGGGTTATGTGACACTGAAAACATTGTGTGACTAATACCAGGGTTATGTGACACTGAAAACATTGTGTGACTAATACCAGGGTTATGTGACACTGAAAACATTGTGTGACTAATACCAGGGTTATGTGACACTGAAAACATTGTGTGACTAATACCAGGGTTATGTGACACTGAAAACATTGTGTGACTAATACCAGGGTTATGTGACACTGAGGCAACCTAGATGAAGGAGGGGAAGAACCCATAGAGAAACAAACACTGAGTGACTAGTACCAGGGTTATGTGACACTGAGGCAGCCTAGATGAAGGAGGGGAAGGACCCATAGAGAAACAAACACTGAGTGACTAGTACCAGGGTTATGTGACACTGAGCCAGCCTAGATAAAGGAGGGGACACATTGGGAGTGTAACAGTGAGGTCCACTTACAGACAAACTATCATGTCGGCTAGAATTAATACATGTATTTCAAATATATCTGTGACACATATATACATTCTGATATAAGATGCAATTTTAGCATTGCCTGTAGATTATTCCTTGGTTTTATATCTCCGTGTTTCATTTTATATAATCTGTTTGTTTGTCAAAGGAAAATTAAATTTCCTTTTATGTATTTTAATTTTTCCACATAGCAAAAATCAAAACACTTTTAAGTCATGTTCATAATTTACTATCTTGTAGATAAACCTTATTTTGGAGTAAATTTACCGTTTCTTAGATGATTAGGATTATATCGAGAGTGTTTATATATAATCATGATAATGCACAACATTGACATTTTTAAATAACTTTTTTTTTACTGATTTGGGTCTCTGTTAATTGCTGACAGAACAATGATGATGTGTTCAGATTATAAATGGCAGCTGGAGAGTGAATATTGTGTAATATATTGTAAATATTATATAGAAAGTTACAGATTTAGGTCACTCTGATCCTCAGATCACTACAGTATTGTAGGTAGAATTGTATGTAAACAGAGACCACAGTTGACACATTTATTGGGCTTTGATATTTTAGACAGATTTAGTACATGTACATGAAAATTTCCAGTGTAAGCAATATACAATTTTGTATAATTAATATATCTTTATATTATCACTTTTTGTATTCATATTTTTATTATCTATAATTAAGTAAGCTTTATGATTGAAGGATACATCCATTGTCATACTATCAAGATCATTATGCTGAACTCAGTATCAAGTGTAGCGAGATTCAGAGTTCTTCAGTGGAACATGAATGACTTTTACCTGTTGAATACAGTGAACAGATTTAGTGTTAGAAATGCAATATGTTCAATTGATTTTTAGCTCACCTCAACGAAGTTGGGGGGAGCTTATGTGATACCCTCGGCGTCGGCGTCCCAGGTTAAGGTTAAGTTTTTTGGAGCAGTTTTCTTTTTAATTACTTCTGAGTCCTATATTGATTAGACATGCATGGAATATGGTTCTAGTGTGTTTCATTGTACCAGACAGAGTTTCAGATGCTGCAATTTCAGCAAAGGAATGACCAGGTTAATGTTTTTGGAGCAGGTTAACATTTTTGGTGCAGTTTTTGGTGTAGGTTTCATTTCCAAGTAACTATAAGCCCTATGTTGACCAAACTTGCATGGATGATACATCTAAGGATGCATACTACCGGCCTTGCTACGGATGCTGAATCTAACCTACATTTTCCGGTTGAGTGAACAGGTTAAAGTTTTTGGTGCAGGTTTCATTTCCAAGTAACTATAAGCCCTATGTCGACCAAACTTGCATGGATGATACATCTAAGGATGCATACTACCGGGCTTGCTTCGGATGCTGAATCTGACCTACATTTTCCGGTTGAGTGAACAAGTTAAAGTTTTTGGTGCAGATTTCATTTCCAAGTAACTATAAGCCCTATGTTGACCAAACTTGCATGGATGATACATCTAAGGATGCATACTACTGGGCTTGCTACGGATGCTGAACCTGACCTACATTTTCCAGTTGAGCTAACAGGTTAATGTTTTTGGTGCAGGTTTCATTTGCAAGTAACTTTCATGCCCTATGTTGACCAAACTTGCATGGATGATACATCTAAGGATGCACACTACCAGGCTTGCTTCGGATGCTGAATCTGACCTGCATTTTCCGGTTGAGTGAACAGGTAAAAGTTTTTGGTGCAGGTTTCATTTCCAAGGAAGTATGAGTTCTTTAATGACCAATCTTGCATAGATGATACATCTAAGGATGCATACTACCAAGCTTGCTTCGGATGCTGAATCTGACCTACTTTTTGTGGATGAGTGAAAATGTTAGTTTTTGATGCATGTTTCATTTCCAATAAACTATGAGCCCTATAATGAGCAAACTTGCATGGATGATACATCTAAGGATGCACACTAATGGACTTGCTTCGGATGCTGAATTCGACATACATTTTTCAGATAATAGACAAGGTGAAAGTTATGGTTGCAGGTCTATTTCCAAAAAACTATAAGGCTTATATAACATTGTATAAACCAAACTTGCACAAATGCTGCATCAAGAGATGAAAACTCTCAAATTTGCTTCAGATGCTGGAATTTGATTATATTTTTTCATGAAGAAGAACTAGTTTAAGTTTTTTTTGTAGGTCTATTTCAAAGTATCAGATCAAAATTGCTTAAATTTTTCATTTTTGGAATGTATACTTTTTGTTGGTTAATTGTGTGACTTTGCCTTACTTAAAGACAACATTCGTTGAGGTGAGCTCTGTAATCTCTGATTACCTATGTTTTATTTTTAGGGATGCAATATGTTCAAATGATTTTTTATTATTTTTAAGGATATTTGGTCCCTATTTTGAGTTTTTGATTTTTTAAGAGAGAATTTCTTTAAAAATAAAAACCAAGTCCTATAGATACAGCCTTGAATTTTTTTATCATCAGGAAGAGAACTGGGTGGCTTAATCTGTTATAACAATTAATGGACAACAGATTTAAGAGTTCATCAGCTACTAGTATATAACCTATATATGCTATTTTAACTATGGACAACAGATTTTAGAGTCCATCAGTTATACACCCAATACTTATTTTCATGGAATTGAGGCAGATTTTATCACCCATGTGGTGCAGTGGTTAGAGCATCTGTCTTGGGGTTCAAAACCCACAGTGGGACATGGAGACCAGTTCTTTGGATGAGACCGTATAATTCGAGGTCCCGGTCGCAGTTCGTGCTGGCACGAAAAAGATCCGTCACTGCTCAATGGCTGTATGTGCCTAGTATAGGACAAAATTTGCAGCTCTCCACTGGCAAGTGGCGGCTTATACATATGACTGAAAAATTATGAAGAGGGACATTAAAGGTACTTGGACACATATTTGAAGTTAATATTTTCTGTATAATATCACGAATTATATATTTTAAAAGTATTTCACACAAAAATTAATTAAAAATCTTATTTCATTTAAAAGTTATTAAAACTTCAAATTTTTCTGGCGGGTTTGATTGACACATCCTTGCACTTTCACAAATTATAACTTTATTCTTAATTCTTAGGAAAAGTGGCAATCTTGTTGTGTATTAATGAGAAATATTAAAACTTTAATCCAGAAAAATAATTTTGTTCAGAGTAGAAATGTTAGAAAGCAAAACTCCTTCACAAGTATCGTCATTCCGAGCTAAGTGTTGTGTACAAAGTTTAGCAAATGGAGCGCACTCGTGTTATGTATACTATTGTTGATGTTTACGATTCACCTGGTGCGTTCAATCATCAAAGAGTGCTCACCACAACTGCACGGACTGACAGTATATTATGTGTTCGTTTTGCTTTTGAACATGTCTACTCTGAATTTTCTGGGTTATAGTTTTAATATTTTTCATTTATACACAATAAGACTTTATGCTACTTTTCTTAAGTATTAAGAATAAAATTAAAGTTTGTGAAAGTGCAAGGATGTGTCAATCAAACCCGCCAAAAAAATTGAAGTTTTAATAACTTTTAGATGAAATAAGATTTTTAATTAATTTTTGTGTGAAATGCTATCAAAATATATAAGTCGTAATATTATAGAGAAAATATTAACTTCAAATCTGTGTCCAATGCAAGTACCTTAAAATAACAATCAATAAATGTTGGTAGTTGTCGATCAGGATCAAGCCTAATATGTGCTTTATACAGTAATACTTTCCTGGGAAATATAATGGAATTAAGTGTAAAGTTTTATCATTTTTCAAGAGGTTTCAACATATTACAGATCCCCCATTTTTTAAACATTTCAATTATGATACCGTATGCCAACCCTTTCAATTTTTCAGATTAGGGACAGCCTATATTTCAGTGAAAGTAATGTATGGGTGAAGGAGATGATTTTATATTTCAAATTTCAATATATTTAATGATTCTTTAAACACGTTGGCATACCTATGTTATTAATTATTTTGAGCCCCCCCCCCTCCCCCCACCCCTCGTTCCACAGCCATGAATAAGAACAATTAAAACTTAAATTTATACTTCATATTGAGAATCTTATACTTCACACAGTTGCTCTTTATTATTTACAGATATTTTAGTTCATAACAAGGTAAAAATGCTTTGTCAGATTTGATTGCCTTTTATTTTAATATCGGGATCGATGTTCACCAGCGGGATCGGTGTTCATGCACATTTAATTTTTTTCCTGATGGACCCAAGCCCTAACTTGGCAAGTACCTACTGTTGGTAAAGTGAAACTGTAACAGAATTGACACGGTGCGACCGTTAGTGAGGGTGGTGCCGTTGCAAGAACAAAATTTTCAAACTGTTTTCTCGTGGGTATTTATTTAATCTTATTTTATTTTCTTCTTTATATTTACCACATTTTATTGTTTTAATGATAATTCAGCTGTTGATCAGTGTTAAAATCATGATATTGTAAGGCAGTGTCAGAAAAACATAACAAAGACATCGGACCTTTATGGAATGCCATATACGACAGCCAACCGCTTACTGCCAACTGCTGACCGCTTACTGCCAACTGTCAGCTGCTTACTGCCAACTGCCACACATATTTGAATAAATTTTATATTTGTATTGATATTTATATGAATTTTCACAAAAAAAGGCAGGGATCCAGGACATTTTTTCCAAGGGGGTCACGCTGGTAAAATTGAATTAAATAAAATGACCAATATGTTTTATCTTATGTAATATTCAATATATGTGGTTGATAAAGTACATTGTTTATTTTTTTATTTGTTTTCCTATTTGAAATAGGTAATAAAATGACTATTTTCTGCTTTTAATCTATAAAGAAGCCCTCCCCCCTCCCCCGGAGACAACAAAACCTTTGAAGAGAGAATAATAATTAAAAAAGATTTGTCGTTTTGCAGAGAAAGATGTTTTGAAAATAAATTTCCGTTTTCCATTATATTCTATAGTTAAAAATTTCCTCAAATTAAAGATGTATATGTCTGTGTGTTATAATAAATGTTTCACATGCACAGATCTGGGGGGAGGGCATTTAAAATTTGTACAGTTATACGTTAAATAAACTAAACGAACTACCGGTATAACTGACCTTGGACCCTCCACTTAGAAAACGCCGATCAAATATTTATATCTCTCTGTTTGTACAAATAAAATATGTTTTACATGCATAGATCTAGAGAGAGGGGTCCGGAACACCCCTCTGAAATTTGTAAAGTTATTTAATGCACAAACTAACTCAACTAAAAGTTATTTAATGTACAAAATAAATAAACTAAAAGGAACCTTAGAACCCCCCCCCCTCCCCAACCGAAAATGGAAAATGTGGATTCGTGTTAAGTTGGTATGAAAAATGTCATACACATGAAGGTATGACGCATAAGAACCCCCTCTCCCCGGCCGAAATATATTTTCACATTTAGGAAAGGGCTTTACGTATTTTTTTTCTTGTTAAGAAATTTCTGGGTTGGATTTTTTTTTTACCAGAGTGACCCTCTTGGAAAAAATGTCCTATAGATCCACGCCTTTTTTTTTTTATTTACATAAATATCAATATAAAAATAAAATTTATTCAAATATGTGTGGCAGTAAGCAGCTGACAGTTGGCAGTAAGCAGTCAGCAGTTGGCAGTAAGCAGTTGGCTGTCGTATATGGCATTCCATAGACCTTTTAAAAATAATCCCTTCTCTTAGCCCAAGTACTTTTCGTTCAAATTATGCGATAAAAATGAAATTAAGGGTGTAATAAATCTGGAAAACCTTTAAAATGGTTTCATCATTTCTGACAGTGTCTGAGTTGCCCAGACATTGGTAGACAAAACACTCAAAATGAAAAGTGCATAGCCATAGTGGGGATGGAGAGAGAGAGAGAACATTCCTTGGACCAGTCAAGGGTTCAATGTACCAGCCTCAAGAACTATAGCCCTCTGCTTGAGAAAATTCGAACTGATAAAACAGAGCTACAGATCCAAGCGTATAAACTTGGACAATTTTTAATCCAAACAAGTCATTATACGAAATCATTAGGGGGGCACATCTGAGTAAAGCAGATTTGCTTTCTATATAATACCATATTTGGAAATTAATTTGGGTGGAAGGTGGAGATAGACAAAGTTTTGGTATCATGTAAAAATTCCCTGACAAGGAAAAAAACAACATCACACTCAATTACTAAGGGGGCACATCAGGTCAGTGATGTAGCTTTGTTTTCTATAGAATACCAAAGTGGAAATTATTATCATAAAGGGCTTGGAAACTCATAGACCCATATTCTTAAGGCCATTTTTTTTAAAACAATGTATATAGTTTTGTGACTGTAATTTCGACTGAAAGCAAATTTTCATAAAGTATCTGCTTACTCCCCAGTAGTTATGAGAGTACATCTGTCCAACAATTATAATTCAGTGGCGAGTGCTTAATTAAATTTTCCCCTTCATTTACAGGAAATGCAGTACATATATTACTTTCCTTCGTTTTATAGATGACAAAGAAAAGAGGAAGGAGAAAATGTAGCTACAAGAAAATACAAATAAAAGACAAATTACGAAAGAGAAAACAAAGGTTGGCTAGACGTTTATCAAGTAAATTAGGAATTACACAAGAAATAGAACATCTGCCCACCAGTGAAATAGGAATTACACAAGAAATAGAGCATTTATCTACCAGTGAACTAGGAAAAACACAAGAAAGAGAGCATTTATCTACCAATGAAATAGGAATTACACAAGAAATAGAGCATTTATCTACCAGTGAATTAGGAATTACACAAGAAAGAGAACATTTACCCACCAGTGAAATAGGAATTACACAAGAAATAGAGCATTTATCTACCAGTGAATTAGGAATTGCACAAGAAAGAGAAAATTTACCCACCAGTGAATTAGGAATTACACAAGAAAGAGAGCATTTATCTAACAGTGAACTAGAAATTACAGAGAAAGAAAAAAAGAAAAATAAGGTGTTCAGCCGCTTGAGAGACAAAATACAGAAGAGAAGAGAAAGAGACCGGGCTCGGTATTTATCAAAAAAATTAGCAAGAGAAAAAGAGAATAAGGAGAAGAGACAAGGAATACAGTGGTCATCTACTGGTAAATCTTTTCCTGATATCCATTCAAAAGCGCAGTCATTAAAGTCTGTCTTCCCTTGAAGGGTCGTTGAAGAAGCTATATCAGTACAGTAAAACTCATTTAGTGCCAACACGGATATTGCGAATTCATGGATATGGCAAAGTTATCTTGGATCCCCAACTACATAAGTTTAACAAATTCCTTATACAGTATGGATATCAAGAATTACGGATATAGCAAATTAATTTTCCAGAATCCAGATCCCAGTGACTTCGTTATAACCGAGTTTATAACAGTAACTGTATCTAGTTCTGTTGACAGAGCTATATCAGTATTTAGTTCTCTTGATGGAGCTATAACATATACAGTAACATGAAAATATGTTCAATCTTTTAGTTACTCCTACAATTTCTAAGCAACAAACTCTATAAAAATTTCTTTGTTACTTGATTTCCATCTCCAAGGTGCAAAAAATCTGTCATCATTATATAAAATGTGTTTGTAATTTACTCTGTCTTCTAAACCATTACCCGGCTAATATTCCTGTAATCTATGAATAATGGAGGTCTCATATAAACATTTACAGGTGATTCAACCATGAAGGTCAAGAGACAGAGTCCTGCCACAAAAGCCAAGAAGAATAAGGTCTACAGAGCTACAGTCCTCAAGTCTAGGATGGAGACAGCAAAAGGGATACAGACCAAGGTACCATGGCAGAACTGTGTATTTTAATACAAACAGTTTCATTTCCAGCATCAGAATTATTTACTTATCAATCTTATATACCTCCAGTTTTTTACTGTACAGTTACCTATGAAGGGAGTAATTGCAGCAATTGTCGTATTTACCTGGATAGCCCTATAATTGTAAAATGTCAAAAATTGATATAAACTTTACATTCCCAGGAAGTCTGTCTTTGGTTATATTGGTCAACATTGCATGTACATGATTGTTGTCTAATTTTGAGTGAAATCAAATACTGTATAATCTCTATTACCCGGACGCTTAGAAAATTGCGAAAAGGGAGTGGTTATTTTGGTATTCTTTTTTTAATATTCATTGTCATATTTATGAGCCCGTATTGATAGATCTGGGGCATATATTGTTTTTGTCCTGTCTGTCTGTTTGTTTCTCTGTTTGTCTGCAGACTTCAACCTTCGCCATAACTTATGAACCATGAAAGATAGAGAATTCATATTTGGTATGCATACTCCACTACTTAAGCTCTAGGTCAATGACCTTGTGACCTAAATGTGACCTGTTTACTAAAAATAGTTTTTTTGTACCTTTGCCATAACTTTCGAACCATAGAAGATAGAGACTGCATATCTAGCATACATACTCCACTGATTAATCTCTTTCAAATGACACCAAAGTCAATGACCTTGACTGTGACATATATGCTAAAAATAGCTTTTTCAGAATTTTGTTGCCGCCGGGCGCATAGTGTTTCACAAACACATCTTGTTTAACTTCAAACAAAATGTGTTTGTGAAACACTATGTGCCCGGTGGCAACAAAGTTTAAAAAAAACTATTTTTAGTATATAGGTCACAGTTAAGGAACTAGGTCATTTATCTTAATATCATTTGAAAAACTTTATTAGTGGAGTATGCGTACCAAATATGAAGTCTCTATCTCTCATGTGTCAAAAGTTATGGAAAAAGTTCAAAAAAGATATTTTTAGCTTGTAGGTCACAGTCAAGGTCACAAAGTCATTGACCTTGATGTCTTTTGAAAGAATTTTTTTGTGGAGTACGCATACAAAATATCAAGTCTCTACCTGTCAAGGATTGAAAAGTCATGGCGAAGGTTTAAGTTGACAACAGACTGGACAAAAACAATGTAAAAATCTTTTGAAAAAAAAAAGTGAAAGAAACACTAAAATATTGTCTAACTTTACTTTGAGTAAAGATTGTCCACCCAGTTTATGGTAAATGATTCATTTTCCACCGAGTAATTGGATAAAAGATAAGTTTCATTATCACAAACTTTTGATACGATTCTAGCTTTTTGCTATAATTCACTTTTTGCCGTATTTTTTTTTTGTTGCTATAATTCATTTTTTGCTTTAATTCAATTTTTGCCGTAATTCGTTATTTGACATAATTCATTTTTGCTACAATTCATTTTTTGCTATAATTTACTTTTTGCTATAATTCACTTTTTGCTCTAAATACCTAGTTTCAATTGATCAATCATTATGCTTTGCTTAATTATATCCTTTCAGAGAATTTTTTAACTCATATTGAGAATCCACTACTTGCTAGTGGAATGCTGAAAATTTAGACTTGTACCTGACCTTATCATGGCCTTTGAGCACTGAAGGATAAATTTCATGACAGTACCTACTGTGACATGTAGTGGAGTGACAATACTAGAAAAAGATGCTTAGTTTTCGAGTTTAATGGACCAGCATACCCTATGGCTGAAAGTTATATTTCATAAAAGAGACTTCTCCCCTCATATATTTTTGCCCGTTCGTAGAGTTTTCTCTAGTCAAATTTTTTTTAACTTGCGTTGAAAGTGAAAAGGGGGGGGTATTTAATTTATTTATTTTACTTGCTGATAATATTCTTTTTCAAAGATTGATTATTGATTTTTTAAAAAAATACTAATTTGTGTGTGATAGGATAGCTACAGGTATCTAAATTTACGATGCAAAATTATTCAGGAATATTATTTGCCCCCCCCCCCTTTTTTTTTAAATCTTAAGTTTTGTTATAGAAACTGCGTTAATTTCAACAAAATATATTCAGTACAATTATTTCATGCAATATTAATAACGAATGTTTACTTAAGCGTTAAAAAGATTTATAAGACAATGATTTCTGATCAAATTAACCGCACTTTTTTAAAGACATCCTTACACTTAGTCTTGTATTCTACTTGATCTAAAATGTTTTGTGTAACTGGAAACAGATTATAGAATCCCATCATGTCTATGACAGTGACTCCATCGATCAAAATATTCTTAAATATATTAAATTGGCTTCTATTATTAATAAGATAACGCTAATATTCAGTTTGAATTTAAATTAATTAGCATTTAAAAGTAATTTTCCTTTTTTTCAATTTAAAAAAATACGTATAGGACAAACATGTCACTTTTCCTTCACATTCCTGTTTGAACAAGGTATCTTGCATGATTGGATATTGCAATACAGATTAACGTAAGTATGAAACAGAAAGAGAAAAACGATTTAAGTATTTCATCATAAAGACTTTACAGAAACTATTTCATGTTTCCTTCGGAAATATATTTAGTGTTTTCTACAGCAAAAACATGGACTTTGTCATTATTCAAACTAAGGGATACATATTTTGTTTACGCATTTCCTCACTTACATGTACATACTGCCAAAAATTGAACTCTAATACTATAATCGTTTATGAGCAGGGATATCATATTTTGTCAGCTCAGTGCTTACAGTACATAAAGTTTGCTTTTAAAAAGGCGTACCAGAAAGGAAGATATGAATCAAACGGAACCGTAAAAGCAATCCACTAAATTTTTTACTGGGAAAACTCATGGTTTGTTCTGTCATAAGAAAGCTTTTTCGATATTTTTCCTTTTGAGAAAGAATTGTTAGTTTTGCTTCAATATTAAATCATATTCTTGAAAAGTTAACAATAAAGATATACATGTACGTGTACATGAAAACCAATGAATAGAAATTACAGCTCTAGCAAATGTATTACGTCATTAATTTAACTCTTCACCCCTTTTCAAAGAATTGCAACTTTAACACCAATACATGTTCAAACATACATTTCAAAACCCCAAAATCTGTATAATGTAGCCTGCTTAATTTATGAGTAAACGCTTATTCAAAATTTCACCAAATTAAACGTAAATTTTCAAAACAACATTCATTATTAAAAAATTGGCTATTTAGATAGAGAAATGAATAATATTAAGACTTTAAATAATATGTTGTCTGTCCTTTGATGAGACCGGAATACCGAATTTCAGTGTGAGAGCAAGGATGACCTCTAGGAGAAATTTTACTAAAAAGCTTCGAACAATTTCTTTAAAAAATAATGAATCAGATGTAAAAGGCTTAATAAAAACATTACATTTAAAAAAGTGCGAAATTTATGGTCATATTCAGTTTTTTTTTAGGGTGGGTGGGGGTAGGGGTGATGGGTGTTGTTGTTTTTATTTTTCTTTACATTGTGTACTAAATATTACGTGATTGTTCGTAAAGAATAACGTACGTTAGCATTAAACCGTTTAAGTTTAAATAAAATACTATAAGACAAACCTTTCATTTTACAGACAGACAAACGGGCATTCTTATGCAATTTTTTGTTCCATTTCCATGAAATCAATATATTCACCGTATAAATAAAATTCCTATACAAATATACATTATTTTCACGAAGTCCTTCAAATTTACTTTATATGTAATATTATGGTCAGATTTCATTCATTGATCTTTGATCTCCTTTTATTTTAAATTTTGACCATAGAATTTTCTACGACCAGGCAAAAATTATTGCTTGGTAATATATCTGACCAAAAAAGTACAAGTCAGCCATAGGGTAGGGTGGTACATTAAATTCAAATTTTTGATGGTCTTGTCACTCCACTAATGGGACCTTGGATTCATTTGAAAAACCAGTCTCCATGTTGCCCAGTAGATTTAAACCTGTTGTGTAAGGATCAAATCCTTACACCTAAACTCTGCCAGACTGCCAACTTTTTTATATTTCCAAGATACAGTGGTTTTTTATGCTAGGACCTTTAGGTGTTCTATGATTTTATGTGAGCAAAGAATTGTCATCATTGTAAAACAGATTCTACTTACCGGTATTTATTTCAGGTAAAAAAAAACAAGAAGATGGAAGATGCATCAACGACTTTTCCAGATGAAATCAGCCAATCCAGAAAGAGGAAAACCTCCTTGATGTCTCCTTCTATTTATGTCAGCAAATCGAGAAGGATGAAAGATGCATCAACGTCTTTTCCAATTGATGTCAGAAAAACCAGAAAAAGGAAAGCTTCTCCGATGTCTTCTTCAAAGAGCAAAGAAGTTACAGGGAAAAAACGAGCTGTCAAGGTAACCATATGGTGTTGTCAATGTAAACAAAACTGTTGTCAATGTAAACAAACATATAAAAATAAAACATTGTCAAGGTAAACAGATGCTTGAGAAAGTCGCAAAGGTAATCAGACATAACAATGTTGTAAAAAAAAAACCATGGCTTAATACATTGTTGTGTAACTCTAGAGGGTAACATAAAAAACAGATGTTCATCATTTTAGAGGTTTTCTGAGTAAACCGTGTGGTTACTGTATTCTTATTCAGCCTAGTCAGAAGAGGAGGGTTACACCCAAAAAGAAGCAGGACGACGAATTATCATCCTCGGTCTCTGATGATGAAACTGATGACTCAGACGATGAAATAGCTCCTGGACTCCTCGTTAGGGTAAGTTCTGCTGGTGTTTGAAGACTCGATAAAAGTAGGATTCTGTTGTTACAAAGAGGATCCATAGAGGTTGGTTCTTCATTACTAGTAAAACCAGTAGAGCTACAGTCTCTACTGGGACTCCTGGTTATATTTATGCTTTCCTGCAAAGAAGGGAGGGCATATTGCTTTGGTGCTGTCTGTTGGTCCGTCTGTTTGTTGGTTAACCAAGTTTCTGTTCATTTTCTTCACAGTCATTGCATATACGAGGGGGTTATCAAAAAGTTCGTGGACTGAGGCTATAAAATTAGTACTATTTAGTCTGAGCTTACAAAACTTTTAAGGAACATAAAACAACAAAAAATAAAGAAATGTTGAAAATTTTAGCTTGATACGTTCATTATTTGCCAAATTATTATAAAATTAAAATGACATTATATGATCACCCGGCGCTGTCGTCGTTTAGTTTAATGATGTCTGACAACGTCATTGTTTTTTATTGTCTGCTTCTTCTACCTCATACACTTATTTTGGTGAGATTGCCTAGAGCTGACTAAGGAATTGAACCCGTCTTGTTTATGTGAATTTACAATGTCATGTACAGCGGGTTTCAATGCATATAGTATTTCCAGTGGAATTTTATACTGGGAGAGATCCTGGCTTGATTGTGCCAGCATATTCTGATTTTTGGAGGCCAATAGCTACAACACATTATCAACGTCATTTTTGACGTGATTGATTTTTCCCACTTGACTTCAAATCGACATTAATTTTGTATTACTTTTCTCTTTAAATTTAATTATTTTGGCATTAAAAACAAGTACTCTTGATGTATATTATTTCTTCGTAGCAAGTTTAAACATTTCCTAGGCCTATACTAGTTTTTTTTTCAGGGGAAAAACTTCGAAGAATGTTGGAAAAGGAAACACCTCCCCCTTTTTGACGTCATTTTCTAGCCTTAATTGTTCGGACACTCCATGTTGAATTTATGATAAAATGTCATAGAACTTCAAGAATGAGGCAAAAATTCCACATTTTATGGAACAATAGTGTCCCAACGCAAACCTGAATTGAAGGGATTTTTGGAAGTCAAAATGTACATATCAAACGAGTTTTTCTCAGTTACACTTAGTTCGAAAAAAACGTCGTTTTCGAGGTTGCGCCGCCTGGACATACCATTGCTTTCGAAATCTTTACTAATTTATTACAGAATAAAATTTATGACTTGTGGTTTTTTCTATTGATAGAAAAGATTATGCTAAATGGATATTTTAAAATTCATTGATGTACCTAAAGCGGTTTAAATTTTATGGCGCTAGTCCACGAACTGTTGATACCCCCTCGTACTTACTTTCTTACTTACGCCTGCTACCCCTTTTGGGGCATATGCCGCTAACAAGATTCCTTCAGGCCTCTCTATCCTGAGCATAAACTGCAATAAAATTTTGCTTACAGATTTATCATAAGAATATCTAGATCAAGTTCTGTTTTTGATAGGAATGAGCCATTTTTGACAGAGTTATGCTCCTTGGACTGAGAGTAATTCTTATTATTTGCAGTTTCCATTCATTTCCTTTGCAGAGATTGCACATACTGAAATGAAATTTAGGAAACAGATTTATCAGATAAATACCTAGGTTAGGTTTTGTTTTGGGTGCATCAAGTATTTGGGACAGAGTCATGCCTTTTGGACTTAAAAAAATTCCAATTATTTGGGGGAGGAGGCATAAATGTTTTATAAACATCTCTTGTTTGAAAAGCCTTGGAATAATTGTGTATCATAGTTGTATAACTGATTTTTAGCTCACCTCAACGAAGTTGGGGGGAGCTTATGTGATACCCTCGGCGTCGGCGTCGGCGTCGGCGTCGGTGTCGGCGTCGGCGTCGGCGTCCCAGGTTAAGGTTAAGTTTTTTGGAGCAGTTTTCTTTTTAAGTACTTCTATGTCCTATATTGATTAGACATGCATGGAAGATGTTGCTAGTGTGTTTCATTGTACCAGTCAAAGTTTCAGATGCTGCAATTTCAGCAAAGGAATGACCAGGTTAATGTTTTTGGTGCAGGTTAACATTTTTGGTGCAGTTTTTGGTGTAGGTCTCATTTCCGAGTAACTATAAGCCCTATGTTGACCAAACTTACATGGATGATACATCTTAGGATGCATACTACCAGCCTTGCTTCGGATGCTGAATCTGACCTACATTTTCCGGTTGAGTGAACAGGTTAAAGTTTTTGGTGATGGTTTCATTTTGAAGATACTTTGAGCCCTATAATGACCAAACTTGCATGGATGGTACATCTTAGGATGTATTCTACTAGACTTGCTTCGGATGCTGAATCTGACCTACATTTTCCGGTTGAGTGAACAGGTTAAAGTTTTTGGTGCAGGTTTCATTTCCAAGTTACTATGAGACATATAATGACCAAACTTACATGGATGATACATCTTAGGATGCATACTACCAGCCTTGCTTCGGATGCTGAATCTGACCTACATTTTCCGGTTGAGTGAACACGTTAAAGTTTTTGGTGAAGGTCATTTTGAAGATACATTGAGACCTATAATGACCAAACTTGCATGGATGGTACATCTTAGGATGTAATCTACTAGACTTGCTTCGGATGCTGAATCTGACCTACATTTTCCGGTTGAGTGAACAGGTTAAAATTTTGGATGCAGGTTTCATTTCCAAGGTACAGTACTATGAACCCTATAACGACTAAATTGCATGGATGGTACATCTTAGGATGCATACTACCAGACTTGCTTCGGATGCTGAATCTGACCTACATTTTCTGGACGAGTAAACAGGTTAAAGTTTATGGTACAGGATTCATTTCCAAGTAACTTTGAGCTCTATAATGACCAAACTTGCATGGATGGTACATCTAAGGGTGCATTCTACTAGGCTGGCTTCGGATGCTGAATCTGACCTACATTTTCTGGATTAGTGGAAAGGTTAATTTTTTATACAGGTTTCATTTGCAAGTAACTTTAAGCCCTATGTTGACCAAACTTGCATGGATGATGCATCTTAGGATGCACACTAATGGACTTGGTTCAGATGCTGAATTCGACATACATTTTCCAGATAATAGATAAAAGTTATGGGTGCAAGTCTATCACCAAGAAACTATAAGGCTTATATAAACCAGTTGCACAAATGATGCATCAAGGGATGAAAACTCTCAATCTTGCTTCAGATGCTGGATTTTAATTACATTTTCATGATGAAGAACTAGTTTTTAGTTTTTATATAGGTCTATTCCAAAGTATCAAATTTGCATAAATTTTGCATTTTTTCGATGTACACTTTTTGTTGGTTAATTGTGTGACTTAATTTGCCTTACTTAAAGACAACACACGTTGAGGTGAGCTCTGTAATCTCTGATTACCTATGTTTTTTCTCAATTCTAGCTTGCCATACCTTGGGATGTAAATCCACAGTTTAAATGCCTCTATAGAGAACAAGACCAAGTAGAATAGACTCTGGGAGGGGGACCACCCACAGCTCCTGGAATCAGGGTGGGACTTTTGTCCAGGAGGCATGACAGAGAGTAGGAATGAGAAATGACCTCCAAACATCAAACAGGAATTACTTAAGACTGGAGAAAACATCAAAAAACAGTGCTCAGAAAGTTCATATTCCTGGAATAACAGAGGCTGTAAAAAGTTTACATTGGAATCGAAAGAAATATGAATTAACAATGTCTTTAGAAAGACAGCATGTACTAATAAGGGATTGTCTTAAAATTCCATCAAAGCACCAGAAACTTTGTACAGGCACTCTAAACTTAGACTTTCTGTAGAGGAAACATTTATGTATGTATTAAAGTTGTATTGTACTGGTCAGACAAGTTAGATCACTGTGGTGACTCGGTAGAGCATCAGACTATCATTAATGAGATCTTGGTTGGAATCCTTTTCTGACCCGTCACATTTTTCCTTATTGGTTACAATATACACAGCTGGTTACTGTAAATTCTGACAGGATATTCATTGTTGGTCTTAGATACCTTACTGGTTCAAATGTGTATTTAAAATGCAAACAGAAAAAGTTTTGCACTTATATATTTTGAACTTTAATGTTTTCTCTTGACAATTTACATGATAATTTAAGTATACCTATCTTGTAAATTATCTGTGTATTGGAGTAAGTTTGACTCTGTTTTTAAAGTGATCTTTGTAAATACCTGTAGATTATACTGAGAATATTTTTAAAAGCTTGCCTTTACATTTTACGATTTTTTCACTTTAATTCTGTGTTTGATCATTTTACTGGAAAGCCGTTCTTATTACAGTCCTCAGTACAATTTTACTGAAGGTAGACTTGTTATTGATTGGGAAGGGAGAAGATGTGGACATTTGATGTGTTCTGATTATGAAGGGCAGCTATATTGAACATGTTACAAAATAGTATTGAAGGGATCCTCACAACATCGTGTTCTGTGTCCACTTGTGGCCATGGAACCCCTGACAAACGCAGGTAGCTTTAATGGTTAGGGAACAGAAAAGTTTATACTATAGGAAAGTACCTGTCTTACATTATTTTTTCTGTCTGTAAACCTCAGTCAGATACATATTCAGTATCAGATTTTGATTCCACCAACAGTGTTGCCATTTTATTGGGATAAAAACTTCTGTAAAAGTCTTTCAAAAGGCTACTGATTCTGCAGTTTTAGCCGGATTGCTGTAAATCTTGGTATCTTGAAGTCTGTCAGAGATCATACAGCCCTCAGTGAACTTGGACCGAGATGTTGTGGGGATCCATTGTATGTAGGGATTGGATGCATACTTTTGTTTTCAAGACTGTGACTTAATTTGTGTATCTTAGTTGAATGTTAGATACAAATGTATTCACATGTATGTTTATTAATTGGCTACACTTTGCCTTCATTGTTTCTCAAACTTTCTTTCTTATAATTTGTGACTATAATGTTTAAGTATTGTACTTAGCACTTAGTTTGTTGCATTCTTGGTGAAAAAGCAATTTATATTTATAATGTTTTTAACATTTTCTGTAAACGGTAAATCTTAGGTAGATAAATCTAAAATATCTTTGAGTTTTTTGTTTTGACTTCTTGAATTGGGTTGGTATGTGATAAAATCCCATAAGTTCTAAGGTATGAATGCTTGGAATTATGTGTATAGATGCAATTGATTTCATTCATATTTAAAAATTTATAAAATATTTTGTATAAAGATAGAAAAAACAATTTTTGGTCTCTTAGTCACCCAGTCACATGCTGCTACAGTGTTACTTATAAACCCGAAAGAAAATGTTCACTTTATCAAACTTTAAATTAAGTTAAACTGCAAGTGTATGTAAATGGTTTATGTAATCCTAAATCCTATATTTTTGAATTAATACATGAAAGTATATAGTACTGTATCATTGGTATCTGATATTCTTCAAGTTAGTATTTTGTATTCTTCATAGTGTCTTCTTACTGCAAAAATAATGTACTGAGTTACTGATTCTTAGGTCAGATTCTCACAAATTTTGGATGTTAAGGACGTCCAGAATTTTTGCATTCTTGAAAGGTACATTTGAAACTTAGCAAAACTATTGCATACTATTTGTTTACTTAAAAATATACTTGTATATCCTATTTGTCTGCCTTGCTGAACAAACACCTGACCAGGTCCATATAGTCCTGAGTAGACTTCATCAAAAGTCAATAATTGTAGAGAGATCCATAAAAATCTTTTGCAGAATTGCATAGAAAATGATGTTTTGTAAAATTGAAATAAGGTAATCATTTTTTAAAGTCTTTTAAGATTTAAAGATTTTCTTATTTTCATGAAGTGGGGTCAATCTCGGCGAAAAAGTCACTTCTCTCACATGTACCGGTATGTTACCTGTCATTTGAAATTTTTAATTCTTATGTTCTTATAAATTCTTGTAAACCTTTAATTTGTAAACAATAAATTAGACCTAGCTCAGCACCTTACAAATGCAGTGCAGTTCATCTTTTTAACCACCCCACCACCAGCTTATATAAGGTCATGAACATATGAAAAAAGCAGCCTCATTCAAATGTTAAATGTTTTATTTATAAAAAAAACTTAAAAACGATACAAACTAACTGCTTGAATACTACCGGTATAAATGTGCGAGAGAGTCCCACACTTAAAGTTTTACACATAATCTTCATGTAAAATGAACTGGTGATGTTTTTAACACTGGAATGGAGCAAAGTTGTTAAGTTCTGAGTTTTTGGTTGGGGTCTGGACCCACTGTAACATCTGGTTAGCTGTAACAATCCACACATCCTGGAAAACAACCAATGAAATTAAATAACAACCCACACATCCTGGAAAACAACCAATCAATTTAATGGTAACAACCCACACATCCTGAAAAACAACCAATCAAGTTAACAGAAACAACCAACACTTATCAAAAATCAACCAATCAATTTAATGGTAACAACCCACACATCCTGGAAAACAACCAATCAAATTAACAAACAACCCACACATCCTGGAAAACAGCCAATCAAATTAACAGAAACAACCAACACTTATCAAAAATCAACCAATCAATTTAATGGTAACAACCCAAACATCCTGGAAAACAACCAATCAAATTGACAGGAACAAGCAACAGTTATCAAAAATCCACCAATCAATTTAATGGTAACAGCCCATACATCTTAAAATTAACCAATCAAGTGAACAATCTACATATCCTGAAAAACAACCAATCAAGTTAAATAACAACCCAAACATCTTAAAAATCAACCAATGAAGTTAATAGTGACAATCCATATATCTTTAAAATCAACCAATCTAGTTAAAATATAGAATAAATCTAGACATCCTGAAAATTCTGTAATTTCGATCTTCTTGTGTTTTTCTTGTGTGAATCAGAAAACCTTTCTTTGTGCAAGCCTGTACATGTTGTTTAAGCAAAAAGAGTTCAGAGTATTAACCTATTTATTGGGTGTTGTCTGAAAACCTGAGAAATAATCTGTATTTGTTAAAATGCATGAGTAATAATTATAGAGACGTACGTCAAAAGCAGCTCTGACGTAATCCACGAACTCTATGGTCCCCTCCAGTTTGTAGTCGGTCTTCATCCACAGCGGGTCTAACACCAGAACATAGGGCTCCTTATTACCTTCATAGTGGGAGGCGAAACTACAACAAAACAGAACGACTCAAATTAGAACATGGCTACTGTATTATACATTTCTCCGTATTTATTGGTAGTTAAGTATTAGTAAATATATCCAGATATATCTCACTATATGAATACATCTCAGTGTTTGAGCACTTGTATTTCAGTATTTGGGAAGATGTATCTCGGGGTTTGAGTACCCTTATCTCGGTGTGTGAGTATTAGTATCTCAGTTGTATTGTATTTATATCTCAATGTTTGTCTTACTTATTGTATAACAGGTCAAACACGTATATATACATGTACCCCGGTACACCCAGTGTTTGAGTGTTTGTGTCCACGTCAGATCGGCAACCAGCACCTGCCATTTACCTGTCAAAGTTTAACATCGTATAAACAGTTATTCACTAACAGTGGGTCTGTGCAATTACGTCATGAGAAGGAGAGGGTACTTTAATTATATTGAAGTGGGAATTTTGATGATATCAATGTGGTAACGTTGACGAATTAATACCGTAATATAGTCATCAAATTTTCCACCTCCTTATTCCTTTTGAAGAAATGTTTGATACTGGTAAAACGAGTTCCAGCTCGCCATTTCATGAAATATCGAAATCGTTAAATTTCCAACCCTTTACTTTAAGAGTTATTAATGGTTCTTCTTTGACAAAGACATTTTTGATAGATACACGACACGACAGATAGAACGGTGTAAATATGCTTATCGTTAGTTTAATGTGCCAAATGTGCTTAATATTTACATTACTTGGCGTTATGATAAATGTTGACGTTTACCTGGGATTTCAACATGTTTAATTTGCTACAATTGGTAAATAATGGCATTTCCTGGAATTTTAATGTGCCAAAAATAATGGCTTAACCTGAAATTTTGATGTGGCAAATAATAGCTTTACTTGAGATTTTGATGTGCCAGGCCCACATGTGGCAAATAATGCCGCCCCCTGAGATTTTAATGTGCCACATGTGGTAGATAATGACGTTACCTGGGATTTTAATGTGCCACATGATTGTGGTAGATAATGACGTTACCTGGGATTTTAATGTGCCACATGTGGTAGATAATGACGTTATCTAAGATTTTAATGTGCCACATGTGGCAAATATGGCAGCTACCTAAAATTGAATGTGCCACATGTGGCAGATAATGACGTTACCTGGGATTTTAATTTGCCACATGTGGCAGATAATGACTTTACCTGGGTACTTCCTGGTGGCGGAGGTGCCTGTTGTACACAGGTTCTCGGTCGGTGGGTAGTCGTACGTAAACGGCCATTTGTAATTCAACTGCTGATCGTACTGACTTGTAACACACCCGGCGTCATAAAGCAAGCCATTGTTACCGATCGCTGAAATCCATTTCAATGTACAGGGGGTTTAATTTCAAGAGGAAGATGGCAATGGAAAGGTTGTTTATGGAAATCTTATTATAGTTTTTATATGTCCATATGTGCACATATTTGGTCTAGCTTTACTATATATTTGTCAGATCGAATCAGCGTAGAAAGTTTCTTCTGTTTTTTTTTTTGTTTTTTTTTCATAAGTTCTTAAAAGTTAATACTGAACAAAAGCGGACCCCATTCATTTGTATAAAATATATGTTAATTAAACCAAAATAAAGATTTACAGCGTGAAAGTATCACCGGAAGCGCTAAAAAGTTCTACAAATTCAATACAGTGATATTTTTCATAAAGAACAATTCCGTGAACGATCTTCAGACCTGCTTTACAGCTGAAAGATAAAAAAAGTTCACATTTCTCATTGTTTACAGGAATGTTTTGCTCTGCAGAATATCATCTACTTTGGTGATACATGTGATGCCGATGACATTAAAGGTTCATTATAATTCAATCAAACAATCAAAAAATGCAATGATAGATTTCATGAAGAGAAATGATTGATTATTGCTACTATATGCTACTATATGCATGCATCATTGACACTTTACATGTACTTTTGGCAAATATCATTAACACTATACTAGCGGGACGTCGTGCCTGTAGTTGGGAAGTAGTGTCTGGAGAGAAACGCCTTACTTTTCATCATGTTGACCATGTCTCCCTCTGTAGTAGGAATCGTTCCATCTATAGAATTGATTCCAATCTCAAACCCTCCGTCAGCATACCGCTTGACCAGTCCAAGGTTCGAGCCTTGATCTTGGATAAAGAATGTTCCCCTGATCTCACATCCATTAGGATTGTTAACCACAAAGATCTGGTTATATAACGGTTCATATTCTTCATTCAAAGTATAGTCCATAGTCAGAACGACTAGCTGGGGAACGTCCGACTTATTCAGACCCCCGGGAACGGCAGTGTCCAGAAAACAGCGGCAGTTGGGCAGCTGACAGTTGCTGGTGGGGTCACACCCTCCCTGGGCTGTGACCCCCAGGACTAGAGTTGCTAAAGCCGCTAGGAGCAGAGACATGATCAGCACCTGTCTGTAGTTATGGACCCGGTAGTGCAATATTCCTTAGGTTTATGTGTACTGAACTTTCTTATCTGAAAGTTCTGGAATCAGGGGACTCATGGGAACTAGCTACGGAGTACAGGGGAAAAGGGATGATGAGGGTCTAAGGGGATCAGACGAACGGACTACCTCTTTATTGTAAAGGATTTACATTGGTCGTCACTAAAACATTGACATGTGAATTTTTATGAGTTAAGGGTTCGTTTTCTTTGATGGAATAAATTAATGTTCTTCGAATTCCCTTACAGTGGCCTCCGAGTTTTAACAGTGCAGACGGCATGGCGACCTGTGGCAGAAGATAAGGTGACGGTGGCGCCTCCAGGAAGAATCGGTCGAGTTAGAACTATAGTGCTGATAAAGCAGTAACTGGCTGGTCCCGCACAGAACAACATTATATACATTGTTTTGATAGGATTTCAGAGCTTCAAGAGTTTTGTCGAACCCGCGAGAACAAAATTGGTCAAACCTGAAGACGTTAGATCCAAAGCAACACTTTGGTTCAAGGGTTTGGTAAAACGCAATCTGGCCGAAAACCCAGTTAAAACATCTTTTAAAAAAATATATATATGCTAATATAACTTTTTGACTCCTATCGCATGATTCCACCTTAGCTGAAAATTAACCAATGCGATCTGCAAATTACTATAACTACTATTATGACATCACACTAACCCACCCAAAATATTTTTTCTCTCAATAAAACATTTTTTGGCATAGATTTATATTAGGGATCTTTTTTTATAAAAAGGAAAACTGTTATTCTTATTGATATTTTCTAGAATATACTGAATATGATAGTGTCTATTTAATATTCATATTCATGATATTGCAGTCTGAGTGACATTGTCATTGGAAGGTACCATTCTATATACCTATATACTCTTTTCTGTGAAGAAAAATCCTCAGTTCATATATATTTAATTTATATATGGATTGACCGAATTAAAGGGCTACATTTCATTTATTTTTTTTTTTTTTACAAAGAATGAGAACAAAATTTGAAGATAATGAGAACAGGTCATAAGTTTTTTTTCTTGTCTTTTATATCACTTAGAGACTATAGATCAAAATTAATTTGGGCTGTTTAATGCAGGGAAACCCAGGGGGGGTGACTTTTTTCCCCAACATAACCTTTACTATTGTAAATGTTCATTGATAGGATGGTTGGCCCCCCACTTTATAACCACAGTATAGTGATAGCAATGATTATGAGGAAAAAATTGGAAGTGATAGTAAGTTGGCTTTGAAAAAGTTGGCCACTACCCCCCCCCCCCCCCCCCACGAAATAGGATTTTCGAGTTTGGGCAACTTTTAATTTTCGTTTTTTTTTTTTTTTGCTTGTCAACTTTTTCAGGTGAGTAAACAAAAAATTTTCTCAGGTTGGCCCCCCCACTTTCAAAAACGATGCTACGTGCCTGTAATGTAATTGTTTTCCTTTATATTCATTTATTAGAGTAGTTTAAGGAATTTAATAATTTAAAAGGCTACATTTGTTTTATTATGTTTTCTTGTAAAACATTTCTAATATGTTTTAATGTAGAGTAGACTCTTATTCAAGGCACTGTTAAACCTTACCAATTACTGTATTAATTACAGAACATCAGAATTAACGTATCGCTAGCTGTCAATCACAACAAATTTTCAACCAATGAAATAATTTTATTTATTCTGCGCGATCAGAAAACACTTGCTCCGCCATATGCTCCGACAAACACTCGCAGTGAGCTGAGCAGTCGACAATGAAGAAATTGAACAAATAAGTCCATTATCGTTAAAAGATTCAGTTTGGAAACGTGTAACACTGACGACAGGTATCCCGAAAGGGAATCATGGATGTTTTTGGACAGCGATGATTCGGTACGCCGATGTTTCGGGGCCTGACAACACGTTTTGGGTCAATCGGGACTTCTAAATATTTTGGTCAGGAAATGAAATAAAACTTGTTTACTTGGTTTTTTTTCCATGTTTATACATTTATACTTTCTTAGTTTGATAGATACACAAAAAATCGGTATTGAGTGTAAATTAATGATAAATCTATGCACAGTATCACTGGTGCTCGTGGACCCCCCCCCCCCCACTTTTTTTTTCAATATAAAAAAAAATCTGATTCATCTCTCTTCATTTCCAATTTCTGACAACTTAATCTATATGTTTCTATTTGAAAATCACGGAAATATATCAATCATATGCAACTTCTATTCAGCTGTTTCACGTTTAACATGATTTTTTTAATATTGAAAGGGAGAATCCTGTCCACAAGCACCTGTGCACAGATTTACAGACTGCTTGTCTTCGATCTTTTTAAATATATAACATGCATATACATACGCATAAGAATATATCTAAACGTCATCAGGCCTGGGGACCATAAAACTTAGATGAGCTCACTTTTGATCTCAGTCTCACTTTTTTCCAAAGGAATTAAAAGTGGAAAAGTGAGACTGAGATCAAAAGTGAGCTTGTCTAAGTTTTATGGCCCCAAAGCCAGTTCATACATGTAACACTTCTACATACGTGCATATTTTACCTTCAAAATTATTGACAAAATACGTGCATTTATTTTTAAAAGATATGTATAAGCTTTTTGAGTTAGTAATTTCAAAGTTATCGTGCTTATTATATTGTCGACTCGTGTCTGATAGCTACTATATTTTTTTTTTACCAGTTTTTATTCAATATGCATGATTATAAACTTTTATTTTTACGCATTTTTAAAAAAAAAATTAAATCGGATTTAATCCAATAAAATGATTCTATTCTATCACCAAAAATTAACTTTTAATGCCCTCATTACTAGTATTTATTTATGGAGAACACCGTCATACAATGGCAAAATGTCGAAATTATTGATAAAAATTAAATGACTTCATTTATTTTTATTGTAAAGAAATGTCATTACCGGTATTATATTCAATATCTCAAAAAAAAAAAATGCTATATATGATTTAAGGAATTAGTCCGACTGACATAAGGAGGATATTTATAAATACAATGTAAAATTGTACTATATACTAGGGTTGTCCCAGAAAACGTGAACTTTGTATACCCGGGTACATTAGATTTGAAATATATTTCTGACTACAATCTAATTCTTAACCATGCACCTACTGCTATCTAGAACGTGTGCACATTTTTCACCAGAACTTAAAAGTAAAGAAGAAAGATTTTTCCATAAAAAAATAGAACCAACTTATAGATTAACTGCATGTGACAAACGTGCTGCTTCTGTTTTTCCTAAGTCGAAATTTCCAGAGAATTTTGTGGGACGACCATTTGATTCTGGAATGGGGGGGGATGCGATTTTCATGTCGGTGAAGGACGGATTATTTATTTCCAATGGCAGTATTAATTATTTATAATCCTCTTCGCCTATGAAATTCTAACAAGCAAAAAGAAAAAATAAATAAATAAAATTAAAAAAAAAAAGAAATAAAACACCGTCGACAACTCTTATTCGTGGGATGGGGTGGGGGCAGATTATTTATTTCCTTCCAGTAGAGGACAGATTATTTATTTCCAAAATGACTCAGCTCCTTTATCGGCCCCCCTTTCAGAATCAAATGATCATCCCCTAAGAAACTAAAAGCAAGTCTTTACGATGTCGCATGGGTTTTGTGTTATTGCAGATTTATTACATCGCAAATTGAATTAAAGGCCTTTGCTGTAATTTATAATTTACCCAGCTTTGCAGTCGCAATAAGTTTCTGTAATTTGCTTTTTTTCCTTCGTCGACAGCTAACAGTATGATGGAACTCGGACTTTCTCACGCTTCGATAGTTTTCTCAGACAGGGATAATACGGAATAATTTTTGAATATTTGAGTGATTGAATATATATACCCATTGTAAAAGCATTTGCCCTTTGTTTTTGTCTAAAAGTGGGTTCGTATGGCAAATACTTTGCAACAAAATCATCAGGAACTTCGGACAAGTCAACCGGCGTCGACTTACTCGCCATGTTGATGATGTCGGAGCGCCATTGGAGTTATCTCCCATTGCGCGATGGGCGGGGTTTGGCGATACGTTAATTATAAATAGAAATTCAGAAACATCGTCATACACTGCATTTGGTTATTGCTAACAGAAAATTATTTCCATTTTTAGAAATATCAAGTTGATATGCATTTCAGAATCTATAATTAGTAACACAAGTCTTAATGCTGTTATATACTTGATCATGTGATCAAGTGTGAGCTAATCAGAGAGCTTGGAATAAACGAGAAAAATAATATGATACTAATGTTCAGTAAAATATTGCATTCCATTCCGCTTACAATATGACCAATAATTATAAAAGCATACTGAATTATTATTGGCTATGGAGTACTGGATATTCTTTGTGAAATAATATATGGAATACCGAAGTAAATTCTAAATGATAATATACATAGTATTTCATCGTATGTGTTTGATATTGTATGATATTGTCTATATTGACTAATGCACTTTTCATATTGACTATGAAATATTGCACTTTCTGAAATTGTCTTTGGAATATTGCATTCTTTTAAACATTGAATAAGAAATATTACATTCTCTTTGATATTGTCTATTGAAGATTGCTTTTTGTATATATAACATTTGGAATTTGCAAAATGGATATTGTATATGTGGATTACTGTATTCCATATTTTATTTCTAATGATTCATTACCATTTAGCTGGCATTCTGATTTAAATGCCTGTAGAGTATCGTTTTCTGTTTGATATTGTTAATTGAATACATGTATATTTTGCATTTTGTTCGATATGGTCTATGGATTATTGCATTCTGAATTGTCTACGTAATATTATATATACTGAATTATATTATCAATGGAATATTGCATACTGAATATTTTTAATCAAATTTTGCATTCTGTATGGTTTTATTAAAGAAATTTTGAATACTGTAGTTAAGGCCACTCTGTTTCGTAATCTTTATTAGGTTGGCCAAGGCAATGTATATCTTTGTAAAATAGATTATTCCCTAAATGAATTCACATTCTTCTTTACTATTAAAGAAAACTTTGATAACTGGTCATTTTAGAAGAGCTTGGGGAAAATATCGACGAGTGCTTTAGATGTTGTAGTATTTGCCAGTGATGTATTTTTTATTTACCGTCTCTTGGCAAATAATCCCCCATATATTCATCCGCGGCAATCATCAGATCGAAGTACAAGATCTACAAAAGTTATGAATTACTCTAAAGATAAATCTGTTCTATTTAGATAGAAATGGATTCAAAAGAATAAAGCTGCTTTAATAGTTTGACAAATCATGGACTAATGATTGGTTAATAAATCAGCAGTGCAGGAGGTTCTTATACATTGATCTAAAAATAAAAAGCTCAAACTGCTACATGTATGAGTATGGAGCATCTCACTCGAACAATCTTAATGTCGTGAAAATATGGTTATAATTAATGAGCTGCAAACTCATTGTTTTTGCGAAGTGTAGTTAGATTTTCAGAATGGGAAACATTTCTTCATTTCAGACAGAACTTCTGATTCTGTTTTCAGTTCTGCCACTGCCGTTCGTTGCTGGTGAGTACGATTAGGTTTTCTATTACTTCTGAAAGAAAGCTAACATGTTATCGTGATCAGGGTATAGTTTTAGATGAAAAGTCAACTATTATAGGTATACTAGTATCTTTTCAAATTGCAATCGCATTCGTAATATGACTGGTTTTTTTTCTTCAGAGTATTTAGAGACTACTTTTTCCAAAGTGACATCCCTAAGTAATAAGAAAGCGATCTCTAACTTGCTCTGGCAAAGGTCCGGAAGTAAGATGGCGTGTCTGGCGGCATGTGCCACGGACAGTAGGTGCGTGTCCATCTTCCTGGACGGACAGTCCTACTGCAGCGGACATCACGTGATTTATACAACTACCAGCACAATGCAAACCTCGCCAGGCCTCGTGTACTACGAAATACAAGGTACTCAAAATTATATCTGTAACTTAAAACAGAATTTCGTAAATAGTTTTCCTTCAATCCCCCAAAGTTCATAGTTGCTCTCCATGTTATTTGAACTTTACATTTTTAAAAGAATTGCAGAGTTCCAGGAATGTTTCAGTTTCAGTGAAAACATAATTGAAAACCTTATTCTATTAAATATCAAAGTATCTTTCTGACTTATTTGAGATGTCCATTTGATTTTGTCCAGATCCTGCCAGTAAGCTTGGCTGTGTAGCAGTGCCAGGTGATACCGGATATTGCGTCAGATTAAACGTTACTAAATTGTCGTGGCCCGACCAGGTCCTGGCCTGTCAGACAGAAAACATGAGGCTAGCCTCACTGACCACTGACCTCAGGGTCACGTTTGTCCAGAGTTACCTGCTAGGGATTGGTGAGTATAATTATTATATATACAGAATGTTTACTTCACTGACCATCGACAACATGCATGCATGGTCAAATTTACACAGAACTACCTTTTGAGAATCTGAAGTTTAATATTTTTGTACAAATAAAATATATGGAGGTAACGAACAGTATTCAAGATCAAAAGTCAAATAAACAAAACAACATATGAGTAGAGCAAATACGGACCTCCGAAACATCAGAGTTGGGATCAGGTGCCACGGAGGAGTGAGCATCCCCTGGCGACCGGTCACATCCGCCGTGTGCTCCTTGTCATGATCGGGAAATAACGGGAAAATCCGTCGCCAATTCAGTGTGTAAGTAATGCTTTCGGTTTTTAATTAAGGTCTATTCTGAAGGAACCACAACTTTCACTTGCAGAGTACAGAGCGCTTGGAGAAGGAAATTGTTTGGCTAGCTCTAAATTATGGTTCAGTTTACAGGGTTGTAGTTTATTTCTTCCAGGGTTGTAATTTATTTATTTCTCACAGGGCACTCCCAGGCGGTGACAGTCGGGGCTTATTTGACTTCCGGGACGTGGTATTGGATGTCGGGGGACCTTCTGTCGCCTGTCTCCCCCCATTGGGGCCCCAGTGAACCCACATCCGGTCCGGGGGAGGAGTGTGTCATCATGGCGTTCGCTATTGGGTTTCAGTTCAACGACGGTCAGTGTGCCACACTGAAAACATTTCTCTGTGATATGTCCTATATAGCGATTTAAGTGATATTCCAGTCAGAATATCGAAATTTTTATTTTAAACACTGCTTTTTTTTCATTCCACTAGCATTCTTATGTTAATGTACAATGTATCTGTACTTCGTATTGAATACGTTTGTTCTCTATCTGTTCATGTTTTGTATTAATTTGTGGAAGGAAATACGATACACTTTGTCTAAAGATTAAAAAACAAGTGATGGGATTATCGTTGTAAGACGAATGATCCTTGATCTGTTCTTGTTCGTTTGTTTACTGTTAACTGGTTACTGAACTACAGGACCTTCTCTCACGATTCGCTACCTTTGGAATTTATTGTCCAGTTTTAAATTAATGAATCACTTCGAGTTAATTTCCGTAATTAGTTTCTAGAAGGAGGATTGCATTGATTAGTTAATTGGATCAGTGTTTACCGTGGTAGATTTATAAGACAGGATCAATAGATATTGTTACTTATTCTCAGACTTGGGAAAATCAAAAAGCCGTGTCCTGTTATTCCGGGGAGAAATTCTTGTAATCCTTCGTGAATATATAGCGGTATGAAAAGAGACACAAGAGTATTTTTCCCGGCAAGCATTTTTTAAAAGAATACTAGTATATTTATTTATTCATAAATTGGAGATCAAGAATATTTTTTCTTGGATTGATTGACAGTGAAGAGGGAATAACAATTAATGTAAATAGCATTGATATCTTTCTGTGTAATTATATTGCTGATATGATTGATTGATTGATTGTATGTTGTTTAACGTCCCTCTCGAGAATTTTTCACTTATATGGAGACACCACCATTTGCCGATGGAGAGCTGCAAATTTTGTCCTATACTCGGCACGTCGGACCATTGAGCAGGGATGGATCTTTTGTGCCAGCACCTACTGCGACACGGGACCTCTGTTTATACGATCTCATCCGAAGGATCGGTCTCCACGTCCGTAAGGACCAGTAAGACGCTCGGCTGTCTCCACGGGTAAATCTCCGTGGTTGCACGAGACTACTGTGCCACGCGGGCGACATATTGCTGATTTGAGGTCAATACGATGAACTAGCCAACCGAGGTCGGAGGAGTACATTATTCATCGAGCAAGAAACCCCGAAGTCAAAGAGTTAAAAAAAATCCAATTAACTAGTTTTGCAGGCACGTAGAGTGGGGGCTGTCCCCTTTTTTCCAGACATAACTTATATAAAATGTTCATCGAAAGTCCTCTTAACCCCCTCAACTCATTTTCTTCGAAGTATACAAATGTTATACAAGTGGTATATATATGAATAAAAAGATAGTGTTGCTGAAAGACGTTTTGAGTCGGGCCATTTCTAGCCGGGAGTGGGCAAACACACATTTTTTAAAGAACTGAAAAAAATGGATATACACTGTATTTATCATTAACGCGTTGAAAAAAATTCTTTTCTTCAAATTGTTATCATACTCTCCACAGATATCAGATTTCAGGATACAAGTAGGTTTTTTTCCTTTTTTTTTAGGGTGGGTGGGTGTTTTTTTAAAAATCCATTTTTTAGTTTCATAAAATTCTAAGAAGCAGGGGGAGAGTGTTTAACGTCCCCCTCGAGATTTTTTATTAACAATATGATGGTGCTGGGTTATAAGCCAAAGGACCGGTCACCACGTCTCGCAGTGGATTCGAACCTGCGACTGGAGATAAAAGTAGATTAAACGCTCTTCTAGAACCACAGCGCCACGCGGGCGACAGCAGGAACGTAGCAACCCCCCCCCCCTTTTTCCCCAACATTACTTTTACTATTGAAAACGTTCATTGAAAGGCTGGTCTCCCCCCCCCCCCTTTCCGACTTTATACTACCGTAAAGAAGTTGGCATTGAACAAGTTTGCCTCTAGCCCTCTACCCCCTTCAAACACCCCCCCCCCCCCCCCCCCCCCCCCCCCCCCCCCCCCCCCCCGTCGAAAGGATTTTCGAATTTTAGCAACTCTCCTTTTTTTGCTTGTCAACTTGTTCAGGTAGGTAAAAAAAATTTTTGGAAATAATAACGCTTGCGATTTTTCCGGAGAAATATTTTCCGTCTTTTATTAAAATTGTCACGTGACACTTTGGGTAATAAACATGGCAGCCGCCAGACGTATCGGCGTGGAAGTCCCTACGGAAACCACGAACGACGCGTGGCCGAAATGGAAAATCGGCCTGGCTGTGGGTGCCCCTATCGCAGTAGTCCTAGGTGGACTGTGGTATGTCAGGAAACGCAGACAAAACCAGACCCAAAAGAAGAGAGACGAAAACAAAAGTAAAACCGAGACTACGAAAGCGAAAGCAGCAAATCCAGCTTCACAAGGCAGTGAAAAGCCTGAAAAGGTTATTTGCTTGTTATCGAATTCCTTTAGTTTTGATTATTTTGATGAATGTAGAAATAAAAATTACTTAAAAAATCAGAAGCTGTGACCTTCACAGTTAGATCAGGCCCAGTTCAAAGACAATGTTTTTCTTTTCCTGCTATATTTTTAGTTTATTAAATATTTATAGGCCTAATCAATTAAGAAGCTTGATTTGCGGACTTTTTAAAGGAAATTGCTTTTAGATAATCATAAATATGAAGATAATGTTTTTATTTATTTTTGATAATGATGTAGCAGTCTATCCCAAAAACACCAGTCCGTCGGACAAAACAGGTGAAAATCTTATTGGTCTGATGCACAGACTAGTAAACTCGGTCTGATTGTCCGAGGTTTGTTTTGCTTGTGTTTTAAATTTTATATTTTCTATATCATCATATGGACGCTTTAACTAATACCAAAACACATTATTTAAAACATTTTATCAATCGTGATTGTTTTATTAAAACCTACTTCTGCCACAATGTTTCTAAAATAGTTCGATAGTACAGTACCAGGAAAGAAATAGAAACATTTCAGGTATATTTTAATGTGTAATTTGTTTATTAATTCATAATTATTATAAAGAAACATCGTTATTATCATTATGATCAAAGTTTTGGACTGATGAAAACTTGTTTGGTCCTGTGAAATTGTTTTAATTGTCTGTCCGAATGTCCTGTGAGGATTTTTCTTTTTCGCGAAGACTGATGTAGAATCTAGTGCAGATTGCAGAATAGCCTGTGTGTTGGGACACACCGGCACCCTTACCACTAGCGAGGCAGTGCAAGTTCCCTATAATTATACTGTCTGCTACACTATGTCATTACACATAGACTAGCAATGGCTGTCCCTTTTTATTTTAGCTTGCCATCTCATCATGAAAAATTCTGTTATTAAATAGGGTCCATAGAATAATAATATTTTAAAGATTAGAGAAATTTTAAATCTAAAATTAAATTCTTAAATTGAAATATTTAATATCTTAAGTAAAAAAGAGAGATTAATTAAGTTTGGGGACCTTTCAAGACTCATTCAAGTATGAAACAGAATTTTAATGACATGCATACATGAACATCCAAGAACATTCATCAATAAACTTCTTTCCAATAAATGTGTCCCAAGTAATATAAGCTACATATTTGAATGCCTGATTAACTGTTCTTCTTATAAACTTATTCAAGTACACACTAAAATATGATTAAAGCAACTACTTTTATTATCCTGACCCTACATACAATAATTCTTAATTCCATTAATCAGTTAATGAAGAGAATTGTGATGAATTTTCAGTGTGTTGATTTAATATGCACATTTCTAGTATGAAACAGAGGTCTTGTAAGATGAAGGGCAGTGTAATGATTGTACTACATTGAGGACATTTTAGTACTGTAACAATAAGATCAGTGTTAACTAGAATGTTAACTTTGTATATTTGTTATTTTTCACAGGAGTTGACTCCCAGTGAACAGGCACAGGCAGAAAAAAACAAGGGAAATAAATACTTCAAGGGAGGGAAATATGACCAGGCCATTAACTGTTACACCAACGCCATCAAAATGTGTCCCCCGGGCGACAAAGAGGCTCTGTCCACGTTTTATCACAACAGAGCAGCTGCTTACGAAAAACTGGTTAGAAGTTTGTGTAAATTCCATCTCATTTCTTCTTAAATTACCGGGTATTAAGATGTAAACAAGTAAATGAAGTTACTATTAGATAAGAATAAAGCTTGTAACTATTCTGAAATATAACAGAGTATTGTATCTTATGAAAGTAAGACTTATCCTTTGTTTTGCTTTGTAGAAAAATACCAAGATGGTGATAGATGACTGTAACGAGGCATTACGTTTGAATCCTAAATACCAGAAGGCTCTGTCACGCAGGGCTTTAGCATGTGAACAAAGTGGGGACCTAACTCAAGCTTTGGAAGGTGAGCTTCCTTCTACTTACTTAGACAACAATATATTTATCTCCTGGACGAACAGCAAATGTCTTTGGTAGTTTTAATGCCAGTAGTTATCTTTCTACTATGTCATTAGAAAATTACCCCAGAGTCAATGATTCTGGATTTTTTGATCACATATAAAAAATGCAATATATCATAAAATAAAAAATTTCTTTAGTCCTGGGCAAATAAAAGGCAGGCTTTATTGATAAGATAGTGAAAATAAATTCTGCACCAAATTATAAGATCCATTCACTTGAGTCCAAAGTCCCAAAGTCCCATTATTTAGATCCAAGGCGTATAGGGTCTGTCTGTCTGTCTGTTTGTTTGTCCCCAAACTTTAACCTTCGCCATAACTTTTGAACCATGAAAGGTAGAGACTTAATATTTGATATGCATACTCCACTAATTATGCTCTTTCAAATGACACCATGGTCAATGACCTTGGGACCTTGACTGTGACCTATATGCTAAAAATAGCTTTTTTCGAACTTTGTTGCTGCCGGGCGCATAGTGTTTCACAAACACATCTTGTTATACCTCTTAAGTACCAGACAGGCAGCATGTGATGAACTGCACATTAATGTGTACTATAATGTGTATTCCTTAGATGTGACTGCAGTGTGTATCTTGGAGGGGTTCCAGAACCCCCAGTCTCTGATGACTGCTGACCGAGTCCTAAAAACTCTTGGACAAACCAAGGCCAAGGAGGCATTCAAGGTGAAAAATAAAACGATTATCATGAAAAATAGCAGAGCTCCATCATTGTGAATATTTTTTACTCAATAACTGAAAAATTATGTATAATACAATATTCTACTAAAAACAACAGTTTTTCAATTTCATTTGGAAGTGCTTTCTTTTTCAAAGTAAAGAAATTCTTAAGTCTGTAATTTTTCTAGGTTTGAGATATGTTTGAAATGTGAGTGTGGAATGGTGTCAGTGCATGGAAGAGAGAACAAACTTTTTTTTTGTATTTTGCAGAAGAAGAAGCCAATGATTCCATCCAGGCAGTTTATCCGTACTTACTTAAGGTCATTCCAAAATGACCCGGTCATAAATGCGGCCAAAGCCCTACAGACGCAGCAGAACGGACACTCAGAGGACGACAGTCCCTACCAGGGGGCGCTGCATAAGCTGGCCGCGGAGGAATACGAGGGGATCATCGACTGCTGCTCCAAGGAAATCGCAGCCAACACAGACAAAATGGTGGAGGCGAGGCTCCTAAGGGGAACCATGTATTTCCTGTGTAATCAACAAAAAGAGGCCCTAGAGGACTTCAACCAAGTGTTAGCTGCTGAAACACTAGACAAAAGGGTGAGTTAGTAAAAAAGTAGTTGTAAAGAATTTAGATGATTTTTAACCTTTTGGATCAGTTGAACATTATCATTATTTTGTTGATTTTCAGGTGAAGGTTAACGCCTTGATCAAGAGGGGAACTCTGTACATACAGCAGGAGAAACACACGGAGGGACTGGACGACTTCGCGACGGCCGTCAGAATTGACCCCGATAACGTAGATGTCTACCATCACCGGGGACATGTAAGTGTCAGAATCTTAGGAAAGCAAGGGAAAGGGGGAGGGTTATGAAATTTCCGAAACAATATTAAATATATGTTAAATGTGTGTCAAAGGATTTCTGTGTGGGGGATGTCAACTGTTACCCAGATAACATGAATTACTTATAGATTATAGAGGATTTAATTTTATAGTATATAAATATGTGGAGTACAGTGGAGCCTCATTTATCCGGACGCTTTGGTTCCTTGTCAATTTGTCCGGATATGTGAAGCATCTGGATATCTGAATTACCAATTAAACAAGACAATGTAACATTAAAATATTCTGTTTCGATGAAAAGTCATCCAGATAATGAAGCATCCGGATATCTGGCATCCGGATATCTGAAGGTCCACTGTATATAAATATATGAAAAGAAATAACAGCTTTTTATTTAATGTTAACAGCACAACATTCAGTTAGACAGAATGGAGGATGCCATCCGAGATCTGGAGAATGCTATCAGTAAAAGTACAACCTTCGCCCCCTCCCATGTACAAAAGTCATTTGCTGGTAAGATTACAATAATCCCCCCTCCCACGTCCAAAAGTCATTTGCTGGTAAGATGACTATAATTCCCCCTCCCACATACAAAAGTCATTTGCTGGTAAGATGACTATAATTCCCCCTCCCACATACAAAAGTCATTTGCTGGTAAGATGACAATAATCCCCCCTCCCATGTACAAAAGTCATTTGCTGGTAAGATGACTATAATTCCCCCTCCCAGTACAAAAGTCATTTGCTGGTAAGATGACAATAATCCCCCCTCCCACGTACAAAAGTCATTTGCTGGTAAGATGACAATAATCCCCCCTCCCACGTACAAAAGTCATTTGCTGGTAAGATGACAATAATCCCTTCTCCCACGTCCAAAAGTCATTTGCTGGTAAGATGACTATAATCCCCCCTCCCACGTACAAAAGTCATTTGCTGGTAAGATGACTATAATCCCCCCTCCCAAGTACAAAAGTCATTTGCTGGTAAGATGACTATAATTCCCCCTCCAAGTACAAAAGTCATTTGCTGGTAAGATGAAACCAACTATTGAGCATGTCAGTATAATCCCCCCTCCATAATTACAAAAGTCACTATCACAATGTAAGATTGTTTACATAAAATGGTCTTTGGTAATACAAACGTAGATAAAAGTCATTTGCTGGTATTACTGGATACTTGAAAGCTTTTCATATTTGTACCGTGTCATTACACAATCTGTACAAAAGTCATTTGCTGGTAAGATGAATCCTCTTCCTACATCCAGAAACCAACTATTGAGCATGTCAGTAAAATGTTTGTCAAACTACATGTAATTAGTTAGTATTGTTTTGTGTAGGCCTTTGCTGAAAAATTATTTGATGTAATCATTGATGTTTTGTTCTTATCACAGTGTAGTTTGCAAAATCTCTGGAGCTGGAACCAGATAATGCTACAGCGGTCGTACATAGAGGGTAAATTGTTTACATAAAATGGTCTTTGGTAATACAAATGTAGATATATTGCATCTAGACAAAACTTTCTTGACTGTCGTTTATTACTGGATACTTGAAAGCTTTTCATATTTGTACACGACATTGTTTTAAATTACACAATCTGTTAAAAAAAAAACAGAGCAGTAAATTTGATATTGGCGACGAAAATGTTCTCTTGTTTTTTTGTTTTTTTTAATTGCCAGATGGTGGGGATGAACCTAAAAATATGACATTTTTTAAAAAGTCATTTCATTAATCAATTTGTCCTACAAACAATGTGTGGACATGTTCCCTGACTACGGAGAGGCCAGGGCCCTGTTATTGTAAATAATTCAGTGTAATTTACTAATTAAAGATAATTTGTCAAACTACATGTCAGTTTATGGATGGTGTATTAATGTACACATTTTTCAATTTTAATTGTGTAAAAGGCCTTTGCTGATTTAATCATTTGATGTTTTGTGTAAAAGGCCCTTCATATCCTAATAACACTTTAGGAGGCTTGTTTAATCCAAATTATATTATTTCAAGCAAATAATCCTTTAGCTGGAACCAGATAATGCTACAGCGGTCGTACATAGAGGGTAAATATAGGCACTCTTTATGCTTAAATGGTGGAACACAAATTTTTCCGTACATCAAAAAAATTCATCCTTTTAAAAAAAATTTAACAATTACATTTCTATCCTACAAATTTTTTTATACCAAGTTCAGTAGGCAAGCTTTTCATTTTGTAAAGATCAAAGGAAGAAAGATGCAGTTTTACATAGGATTAATATTAATTATGAGTATTACAAGACAATGAAAAAAAACCCCAAAAAACCCAATGAAAAGTCTCTTCTGCTGTTGTCTATTTTGAAGCTAACTTCTTCACTAAAAACACAAAGCAAACAGAAACTGATGAGGTTCTTGCACAATTTCAGATTATTACAGTTACAATGGAAACAAAACATACAGGAAGCCACCTCTATAATCAATAAAGCCATTGAGCTGGATCCCAAATGTGAATATGCATATGAAGTGTTAGGGACTCTGGAGGTCCAAAAGTAAGTTAAGCTGAATTCATAAAAGAGAGACAACTCTTACTTTGTTATTAAGTAAATTTTATTCTATTTAGAGATGGTAAACTTATTGAATAGTAAGTTACAAATTTTAACCTAAAATGTGATAAAGGGCATTAAATTATTCCATTAATTGTGTTCTTTGAGTTTATATATAAACAGTTGTTTAGATTGAATCTCTGGTTTTGATCGTGCATCTGTTTTTTCAGGGGACCTGGTAGTATGGAGAAAGCCATTGAGTTGTTTCAGAAAGCAATATCTTTGTCCAAGACAGAATCCGAAATGGCACATCTCTTCTCCCTTTCTGATGCCGCTAAAGCACAGTTAAATGTCGCAAAGAAACTCGGCATTAATTTACCAAGTCTGTCCGGCATGAACAGCTGAGTGATTCGTTAGACTGGGACTGAGTGATCTCCCCTTAGACTGGGATTGTAACCATAACAATACTGTGATCTTAACTTTCTAACTACTGTATGAAGACAGTGTGGAGTGAGTCAGTAGGGGAAAATTACTGTCAGGTTATTACTGGAGAAGACACAGGACAATTAGCTTGTTTGCAGTCCAGGTTCTTTATTGTACAATTATGTTAATCAAAGTGATTAAACATTTGTTCCATTCCAATTTAGCTTACATTATCAGGGTCTTGTTTAGCAAGTGCTTTTTCAAATTCATCATTTCATCAACATTTGTGAGGTTTTTTTTGGTAGAGACTAAGCACAGTTTTATATTTAAGAAGTTTGATACAGTAGAATTAATAAATGTCATAGCAACACAGTGTTTTTTTCAACTGATTTTTACAGTACCTTAAGAGAAAATGTTGAAATACCTAAGCATCCATTTTGAGGTAGCCACATTCCAAATTTTATCATGTTTTTGATAAAATAAAAAGTTGGTAATGCAGAGATCAATTCAGAATAAAGTTCTATCCTCATTCTCTCATAGTTAAGTACTCAGATATCACTGTACTGTTTTCCCCTCCTCTTCTATTTAGTCACGTTGTACCATTTTCCCCCTCCTCTATTTAGTCATGTTGTACTGTTTTCCCCTTTCCTCTTCTGTTTAGCCATGTTATACTGTTTTCCCCTCCTCTATTTAGCCTTGTACTGTTTTCCCTTTTCCTTTTCTGTTTAGTCATATACTGTTTTCCCCATCCTCCTCTGTTTAGCCGTGTTGTACTATTTTCCCCTCCTCTTCTGTTTTACATTGTTTAGCCAAGTTGTTTTTCCTTCCTCTTCTGTTGTACTGTTTCCCTTCCTCTTCTGTTGTACTGTTTTCCCCTCCTCCTCTGTTTAGCCTTGTACTGTTTTCCCCTTTCCTCTTCTGTTTAGCCATGTTGTACTGTTTTCCCCTCCTGTTCTGTTTAGCCATGTTGTACTGTTTTCCCCTCCTGTTCTGTTTAGCCATGTTGTACTGTTTTCCCCTCCTCTTCTGTTGTACTTTTTTCCCCTCCTCTTCTGTTTAGCCAATTTACTGTTTTCTCCTTTCCTCTTCTGTTTAGCCATGTTTTACTGTTTTCCCGTTTCCTCTTCTGTTTAGTCATGTACTGTTTTCCCCTCCTCCTCTGTTTAGCTGTGTACTGTTTCCCCCTCCTCTTCTGTTTAGCCAATTTACTGTTTTCTCCTTTCCTCTCCTGTTTAGCCATGTTTTATGTTTTCCCCTTTTCTTCTGTTTAGCTGTGTTGTACTGTTTTCCCTTCGTCTTCTGTTGTACTGTTTTCCCTCCTCTTCTGTGTAGTCACATTGTACTGTTTTCCCCTCCTCTTCTCTTGTACTGTTTCCCCCTCGTCTTCTGTTTAGCCATGTTGTACTGTTTCCCCCTCCTCTTCTGTTTAGTCACATTGTACTGTTTCTCTTCCTCTTCTGTTGTACTGTTTTCCCCTCCTCTTCTGTTGTACTGTTTTCCCCTTTCCTCTTCTGTTTAGGCATGTACTGTTTTCCCTTATTCTTCTGTTGTACTGTTTCCCTTCCTCTTCTGTTGTACTGTTTCCCTTCCTTTTCTGTTGTACTGTTTCCCTTCCTCTTCTGTTTAGCCTTGTTGTACTGTTTCCCTTCCTCTTCTGTTTAGCCTTGTACTGTTTTCCCATTTCCTCTTCTGTTTAGCCATGTTGTACTGTTTCCCCTCTTCTTCTGTTTAGCCATGTTGTACTGTTTCCCCTCCTCTTCTGTTTAGCCATGTTGTACCGTTTCCCCTCCTCTTTTCTTTAGCCATTTTGTACCGTTTCCCCTCCTCTTCTGTTTAGCCATGTTGTACTGTTCCCCCTCCTCTTCTCTTAGCCATTTTGTACTGTTCCCCTTCCTCTTCTCTTAGCCATTTTGTACTGTTTCCCCTCTTCCTCTGTTTGGCCATGTTGTACTGTTTTCCCCTTTCCTCTTCTGTTTAGCAATGTGTGCTGTTTCCCCTCCTCTTCAATTTAGCCATATACTATTTTTCCTCCTCTTGTTTTTAGCCATGAAAATTCCGAGTGTGCATTTGTGAAATCCAGAATCTGTGCACGAAAGGGACACAAATTAAATTTTTCAAAAAAGTCTTATTATCGCAAACGATAAAAACATTGCTAAATCAAGTAGAAGATCAAAATCCTTAGAACCCATTCTGATCATGAACAGCTTTTTGGATCGCTTTTCAAATGTATAGACTACAAAAAACATCAAATTATATGATTTTTAATCAACATTTTCTTCAAACCAATAAATTTTTCCTTCAATCACTTATCGAAAATGTTTGGTTGTACAGTATACTGTAGTCAGTAACTGAAAAGCAAGGCTTCAAAATTATTTAAAATTTATTAAGGCGATGTTCTGTCTGTGTGCACGAAAGATAATGCTTGGAAATTAAAGATGCAGATCATTACCGTATACTTGGCGATACATGTGTTAAGTTAAGAAGTCATTATAGGGGAGGTTCAGTAAGGTCCAGCAGATTTGACAGTACATACTGAAGGTTAACTAGGTCACATTGTGAAAAGGTCGTGTGTACCCTGTTGTTATCGCGGGAGATAATCATTGGTGCATACTAGTGTGATAAATCTAACACAATTTACTTCATTATCATGCTTCTACACATATACATGTAACATGCTGCTGGATAAACGTTTTGCTGTCGGACGGTAGCGGATATAAGCTAGTCGATGTCGACCGGTAGCCCAGCCGAGGTGGTGGTGCGGACGTACGGTGTCCGGTGGTATCTACTGACCATCGTCTCCCTCCACTGCTGGCTGTATAACGCCGCGTGGGCGGAGTTTCCACCCATCGCTCAGTCCGTAAAGCTGGTCTACGATTGGTCGGATTCCAACATAAACATGTCGTTGAATTATGGGAATATTGGTACAATTCTGATGATTTTACCTGTTACTTGGATCGTGTTTGCAAAAGGTATCATAAATGATCATATTACTGAGATATAACGCGTAATGGTATTTTTCTAGATTTTAAAATATTTTTTAAATAAAAATATAACAATATATATTTTTAGGAATGAGGTATGGGATGATTTTCTGTACCATGCTGACGGCTGTCGGAATCACGCTGAAAAGTCTTCCGCTCAACAACAGCCTCAGTTCATGGTAACTACATTTTTTTTAAATAAGTTTTTGCAGAACATTTTAAAAAATATTTTTAAAATCAAACTTGATCAGCTTTTTTATTTTTTGTTAAATTTCTGATGGTCTTTAAAAGGCTGATCCCTGTTGGGTTGTTTTTAAACGGATGTGGTGGAGCCGTGACGTCATGTGGACCGACTGTCCTATCAGAGACTTGGTTCCCGCCCACTCAAAGAGCAACTGCTACGGTGTTTTACATCGTCAGCGCCGGAATGGGCGGGGCATTCGTTTTTGTCGTAGGTAAATAAAACATTTTGAACCAACGAGCAAAACTAATGGTCATTAACTGTTGTTAAAAAAGGAATGTAACAGGCCTTATGTTAAAAGAAGGTTTCATTTTCCCCTATGGTTTAAAGGGTATTTCATAATTATTTTCTTTATTAATATTCAGTTAAATATGGCTGAAGATACATTCAAATTGAAATGCCATTTTAAAGGGCCCGCTGTTGTACCAGAGCCAATCGTTATATGTGATAATGTCACGTGGTCAAAAAATTCAAACTGCAGTGAGCAAAATAAAACTTATCCAAGTAAGTGAAATTATAATGAGAAAGACCAATCTTATTATGTATATATTATTTAAGTCTTCCGAATAATAATTTAATATTAAAGAAGAGATTTACATTAAAAATCATGGGAGAAATGTTATCTAAATTTAAGAAGTTACATTTTTACAGATTTTCAAGAAGTGAAAGACAGGCTGTATACATTAAATTATGCAGGTGGTTATATATAACTTTTCGTTTTTATGTAAAGGCCTCATACTGGTAGTTATTAACATGTATTTTGTACAGACCATTTGTTTCAATTCCCAGAATCAAAATATTTTAAGAAATCAAAGAAAGTAAAGTGTCATGCTGCTTCCGTCAAGTAAAAGTTACTGTTAAACTCTCTCGCCGTGGACTGATTCTAGTATGTTCACTCTCTGCTAGTCTCATCGTATTCCTTTCTCAGAGTGTGGTGTCGCCGTGCTGCTATTTGTTTCCGTTCTGATATATTTCCCCAACAAACCGGAACACCCGCCCAGTATCACCGCCACCAAAGAGAGGCTCGGGATGTGGGAGGGGATTAAAACAGCGGTCACGTGAGTAAATGTGTTGATCAATCAATGAGAACTAAAAATATTTGATGCCCACTTTCTAAAGTGACTGATTAGACCAATGGACAATACTTCAGATAACTGAATTCGCAAGCCAAGGGTTTCGCTAGGTATTCTCCCCCTTGCTTGCACACACTAAAATTAAATTTCGTATACAGATTTATCATAAGAATATCTAGGTCAAATCTTGTTTTGGGTATGATCGAGACATTTTTAACAGAGTTATGCCCCTTGAATCTAGAAGGAAAATTTCCAATTATTTGGAAGGGGGGCACAAGTGTTTCAGAAACATCTCTTATTATGAATACTTTATAGACAGTTGAGGTTTTGGCACCTGGCGTTATGTTATGCTGTCCCCACGGCGGTATACGGGGCCTGGATCACCACGTCAGATGTTGTCCTGCACCCTTTTGGAATCTCTCAGGTTAAGATATTGACCTACATTAGTTTTTTCTTATATTTCATATTTGGATCCCCATAAATGTGCTGATCTCGATTCTTAAAGCAAAATATAAGTTAAAAGCACAATGTATAAACTATCACCATTTTTTCTTGCAGTATTGTTATTTATTACATGTATTTCAGTGACAGGAAAAATATTATTGGTGTATTTCTTCCTTTATAAATGTGCTGATCCCGATTCTTTAAACAAAGTATTAAGTTTAAAACAAAATATTTAAGCCACCGATGACCACTATTTTTTCCTGCAGCATTGTTTATGTATTATTTCAGTGACTGGAAAAATATTATTGGTTTTTTTTAAATTTCTTAATCAGATATCTCAGGTATACATTCTGACGTTAGAGATCTTTTTTTATACTCAGTAATTTAAAGCTTAATTTTTGCGCCTTACTGATTTTAATGGATTAATTAAGAATCAGAGTTACACATTTTTACATCAAAATAAAATTCTCAGAAACAGCTTACATTTATGGAATAAGTGTTTTATTTAGAAAGAGGCAGGCAGAATTAAAAATAAAATTTTACAACATAAGGGAATTATTGGTGGAATCAAAAATTTTAGAAAGGTACACGGCGATGGCCGATATCAGCCTGTCTAAAATAAAATTACACGACCTATAATTTTGTCCCGGAAAATGTACATTTCTTGGGGGGGGTACATGTACAAAATAAAAAAAGTTAATGTGGTCTATAATTTTACTTGTTGTACATGTACATTTCTTGAAAAACCGTATGTAAAAAAGTTCTTTCGAAAAAAAAAAAATGTACATGTACAATTCATAAAAGTTGACAAAAAAATCTATAGGGTATATATAAAAGATTTTGTCACCATAATTACAATTACAAGTACAATTCTTTTATTTAAAATTACAATTAGAAATACCCCCCCCCCGATTCTTACACTTTCATCTGCTTATTTCAACAATAAATCACGTAATACCTGGTATAGGACATTGCGGACATTTAAACAGAATCTAAGAGATGAAGCAAATTTGTGTTTACAAAAAAGATGGACCATACGCACTTATATATCAAAATGTTATATTAATTCCATGCAAATATTACAAAAAAAATTGATTATGCGATGAGTTCTTAGAGAAAAAAAAACCTGCGCAATATATTCTAAATAAAATTTTTGTAAATGAAATTAATATAAGAATTAATAAAATAATTTTATATTGATAGAATTGCACATACATCTCACTCGGAATAAACTATTGTGTTATTCAAAATATAAACCTGAGTGATATGCTTTTCTCCTTGCTAATTTCGTAACCTGTATAACAAATGTGAAAATAGGCTCTTGATGATGGCGGATTTGCAGCTAATCAATATACTATAAAAATCATGAATCTCGTATATATCAAACCGCCGAAACACTAGATTAGTGTCGAGTCAAGTGATTTGAGGTACAACATGTACGTGCGCTGACGGAAGCCACTTTCTTTGAAAATGTAACAGATAAAAGTTCAGTGACTGGAAAAATACTTTAATTGATTTTTTTAAATTTCTTAATCAGAACCATTATCTTTTATTTATTGCGTTCAGGTTATCAAACGTCAAGTAGAAGTATGCTAATTATACCGCTATAGATTTTTTTGTCACCTTTTAAGAATTGTACATGTACATTTTTACATCAAAATAACTTTTTTTTAGAAACAGCTTACATTTATGGAATAATGTTTTATGTACAAAAGACAAAATTATAGGTCGTGTAATTTTATTTTAGACAGGCTGATATCGGCCATCGTGTCTTGTGATTGGTCTGCTTTCCGAAAGAAATCCATTTGTATAATGAGTTTTCTGAAAGTTGAAAACTAGAGAAGAATGAACCTTGTTTGAACTTGTATATAATAATAAACTCTTCACAAAAAAATACAAGCTTCAATATTTATTTGACATTTATATAATTAATCAGATTGATTTATGTTTAGAGTATCGGACCTACTACAGAGGAAGACGAAGTCTATAATGGTGGCCATTTTCAGTATCGCTACCTTGTTTTTCCTTCTCTTCGTACTGTTACTGAAGAAAGTCATACCTACTGAATCGTGTACGTATAAAAACTCATACCCAGTGAAAGTGCAGTTTCATTTTTGTATCTCTAGTAATTTCGATTAACTTTTATTTTCAATACAATTTTATTTTAGGCTCATTCAAAAGGTGGAAAAAGAAAATTCTACAACAAAAATCTCTTTACTCTTATCGATGTGTATTTTACTGACGATGGTCGATAATGGCCAAAGGAAATGACTTCAGCTTTTCCATTGTCGAATTCCTTAATCATGTACTAACCCTTTTAGAGGTTTTACGATCCCTAACTGCATGATTCACCATTACCGGTAATTAGAGGACATCTCCTGAGAACGATTTTTATTACACAGAGAGAGATTACTGACATATAAGTTGAAATTACAAGGTTTTTTAACTTTCCATATACTAGTATCTTATTTCGACTGACTTGCTTTACCATTTTGACCAAGGATAACTCTTACGTACACTGTACCTGATTCTAATTTTTTGTTTCCAGAGATCCGTAATTTTGTCCTGTAAACAATTCCTATTCTTTGATAATTCACTGTTGTCTGTCTTACTCTTTTATATATCATGGATATTTTGAGCTTTGATTAGCGTTTTCCTTTATGATTTGTCTAGTGTTCATGGTGTTTTGTTGTTGTTTTTTCCGGGTGTTTATCATGTGTTTATGCTAATGGTTGGGTTTTTTTTTTTTGGATGTTTATGGTAGTAGGTCTTATATGGTTTATTGTCGGGAGCACTTCCCCAACAGAATGTGACGCATATAGAACCTAATGAATCAATATGACATGGTAGTTACGTTAAATATTTGGTAAAACTTATTTTGCTGAATCAGTTTACGAAAGTGTTATGCCTTTTATTCATAGTATGTTTCCTGAATCATACTCACTTTTTATCACTACATCTGCAATCTTTTCACTGTCGTTTTATTTGACCTTTATTGCGGCTTTACTTCTTTTCAGGGTTGTTTTATTTGACCTTTATTGCGGCCTGTGTCCTGACCAGTGGCGCCCAGTCTAATTATAGTAACTACTTTTTTTCAGGGTTGTTTTATTTGACCTTTATTGCGGCCTGTGTCCTGACCAGTGGCGCCTAGTCTAATTATAGTAACTACTTTTTTCAGGGTTGTTTTATTTGACCTTTATTGCGGCCTGTGTCCTGACCAGTGGCGCCCAGCCCCTCTACTACGAGATGACGTGTGAGAACCTCTTCCCCGTGTCAGAGGCCACTATTTCCGCCTTCCTATCTTTTTTGCTCAACATCGGCAGCACTGTCTTCCTCTTAATCTCACTTATACCAAACATAGGTAAGAAATACACGTGTTCATAAAGATTGTAAATTTTTTTTCTCATAAATAAAATTGTTTTCATAGGTGTTAATGAATCCCCCCTCCCCTCTTTTTCTCCTGGATGTTTGAGATAGAAGATAAATTGTGTAAATTTACCTTTTACTTGTGATATAATTCTACAATCTTTATATGCATGTTTGGATCATTAGTATTAACAAAAGAAAATATTTTATCTAACGTAAAATTTCTCCCTAGGGAAAATGTGGCCGAATTGGGCGATATTTGTGACGTCATTCTTATCTGTGTTGGTATTAGCAATGTTCAAGGAGGAATACAGAAGACTAGATATAGACATACCAATCAACCAATCACATGACTCTGAGTCAAGGATCAACCAATCAAATTCCCCGAAACCAGAGTATCCAATCAATCAATCAGATACTTCCCAGTCAGAATATTCAATCAACCAATCAGATAATTCCCAATCAGAATATTCAATCGACCAGTCAGACATTTCCCAGGCTGAATATTCAATTTACCCATCAGATACTTCACAATCAGAGTATTCAATTGACGAATCAGATATTTCCCAGTCAGAATATTCAATCAACCAATCAGATGCCTTTCAGACAGAGTTTCCTATCAACCAATCAGATGCCTCACAGTCAGAGTATCCGATTAACCAATCAGATGACTCTCGGTATCGCAGGTTTTAGAACTAACGCACAACAAAACGTCGATTATCCCGAACCGGAGCGGGACACTTCAATTTCATTGAAATCCACCAGATTTGATTATTAATCAAAATGAGCGGTCGGTTACAATCATGAGTGTTTCAGTCAGAGATTGGTAACTGACAAGAATACACTAATCAGGGTTTATACAAGACCCCGACTTATGGCTGGATCGAATTCTAAAGAGAGTTTTTCCCATTGTTTCTGTTGTTTTCTTGAGATGAGATTCTAGACTTTAAAGATAATTATATCTTTTCAAAAGATTATAAGAAATATTTTCTCAGGGAAACTAAAATTTATCAAAATTATGAAACCAGAAACCTTGATGAATTTGAAACGTAATTTTTTTTTCCAGATGCGAGAGGTGTGATATTACTATTTCCTTTTTTGTACAAACTTTTTAAATGTTGTAATAATAGAAATAAAACACTGGAGTTTTTCAACCATTTATTTTTTTTACATTAATATGAAATACTGTTCATCTAAGCAGGTAGCATGACCTCCACTCAAAGCACCATCAAGTAAATTAATTCACGTGACATCAACTCATCAAAGCGAGGCAAACTCAATAAATAACATGTCTATGATAACTCTTACATTCATGTTGATCATGTTATAAATGCAAATTAGGAAATAGCCACTTATGAATGCGTCTTGCGGTAGTATTGGTTATGTCAGAAGATTTCGTCATCTTCCTCTGTATTTGATTGGTGTTTAGTTACAGTAAGCCCCGCCCTCCTTCCCTGGAAATACCGTGAGGGGTGGTCCAAAGGCGTGCTCTGTGAACAAAGAAGATTTCAAAGTAGACTGAACGTTTTTTTTAATCTGAAATTTGTTTTCATGCATTATTCCAATCTTCTATAAAATATTGCAGAAAAATCAGGTTTTCGTGTAAGGATATTGAGAGATACTTACCGCCACGAGTCTGATCCCGGCACGGCTCCGGGAGGGTTTGTCCCGGCGGGAAAAGTTCCGGATATTCTCCCCCACAGCTAGCTCTTCATCTCTGACTGTCTCAGCCTAAAAATAAAAAGAATGAAAACTGTATATTGAAATTAGCATTATGAGTTCATTAATAAATCCAAAACCTTTAATGTTCAGCTCGAATTTCTTCTATGTATCACAATACGTACGTTGCATTTAGGATATCAAAAAGCTTTCAGCCCAAGAAAGAAAAAGACTTGAAATTTCTGTTTTTTGTAATATTTAATAATAAATCAAAACTTCAGTGATGTTGATTTATGACAGTTATGCTTACGGTGACCCAGGGGTGTCCCAATACGTCGACCGCCGACAGTCTCTCGGCTGGATCCACCACCAACATATTGCTGATCAGATTCTATCAGAAACGAAAACGTCAACACAGAACTCAAACAAACAAATCAAAACATCGACAAAAGAGGTTAAACTGATTGGAATAAAAAGGAAATGTCTCCTTACCATTGCGGACTCCGACACATCATCCCAGTAGGGACTGGTGAAGTCGTACCTCCCCTCCGCTATCTGGTCAAACAGTTCCTCTTGGTCATTCTGGGGGCTAGAAATAAAGGATAGACAACCAATACAAACGAGAGGTGAACTCAAGATTGGAGTGCTAAAGACGTCCTTAGAAAACTTAATTTTAAGGGTTTTTTTAAGTTTGGTATGTAATTTACATACCTTGCAAAAGGAGGAAATCCACACAAAAGGATGTACAGTATAACACCTGCTGCCCAAACATCGACTTTAAAGTCGTACCTGAAAGAAAGTAGAGGTTATTATATTAAATACAAGATTTGATTTTAAAAAAGGGGAAGATAAAAGCAGATTTATTTTTAATTTTTCACCGTACCCGATTTCTGATAGTATTTCCGGTGCCACATAAGTAGGAGTACCACACACGGTAAACAGCTGATCTTCGCAGTACGTGGCCAGACCAAAGTCCCCCAGCTTCAGAGACTTGGATCCATCCGCATGGTCGATTATCTGAATCACAGCGGAGAAAAAAAATAAACTCAGAGAGAGGGAACAATCGGATTAAAATGGAGACATTACAGCTTCCAGTCAATGACAGCCTTACCAGTAGGTTCTCGGGCTTGACGTCCCTGTGTACGATGCGTAGATTATGGAGGTATTTCAGAGCCTGGGCCAGATTGTTGATCATATTGCTAGCGGTTCTTTCTGTGTACTTAGTAGATAAGGCTATGTCATCAAATAAGTCACCTCCCTAAATTACATAAAATAGGTTATTTAATATTGTATAAACTCTTTTTTAAATCTGGATTATGGCCCTTAATGCGCGAAAATTCAAAATTATTGCTCAGTTTGAGAGATCCTCACCCAGTACGGAGTAGCAGACCCTGATAAGTCAGTGTACGCACCTTGACGAACTCCATGACTAGATACAGACTGTCTCTGGTATCGAATTCCTCGATCAGTAGGATGATGTTAGGGTGGTCTACTTGTCTCAGTATCGATACTTCGTTCTCTATTATGTGCTCCTGAGGTTAGAGAAATACAAATCTTCATTCATGTGTATATGTTTATTGGACAGATAACTATTTTCAAGTTCTTAAATGTTGGTATCATTTTATTTTCGCAAATTACATGTATATGTTAAAGACTGATTGACATTAAATGTGTTAATCTACATCAAAAAAGCTCTATCTAGGTGAGGTTTAAACTTTATAAACAAATGTTCATGTCTTTATAGGTTTTACGACCGTAAATCTATCACTAAACATGCTTATAATTCTTCTTCAAAGAAACAGAATTGAAAATTCTGCACAATAGAAACTGGCATATAGGGACTGTTAGTGAATTCGATGACGACTTTTTGTCGAAAGCAGTAAAAAACTTCATGGTAGAATGTTACTCATCAGTATACACACCCACGCACCTAAATACAGCTAAAAATCTATGGATAGAGTCAGAATGCTTCGCACATCTCCCTTACAACAATCAAAATCTCGTGGCCACATTATTTTTTGTTTGAGTATATATATATATATGCCTGGCCACTTTTGGGTTGATACAATAAGACCTTTGTAGCAGTCACAGCATTGTTTGGTTTAATTCACGACTATATAATAGCCCAGCTTTAATTTATATGAAGTGTCTATTTTAATATGAATTCGGAATCTTCTATTTGGTTCCAATCATTAAAATTATCGATTAAGTTTCAAATATATTTTTAAATTACACAAGGGTTAAGTCCGTACCTTGCCTTTACATCTTTGCTTGTCAATTTTCTTCAGTGCATACTTCTTTCTTGTGCTCCTGGAATTAAAATCAATAACGGATAATAGAAGTCGAGCAGAGATTGGTGGGGAAGAAATATGTAGACTGTGCTATAAATGGAATCCCCGAACCCATCTGTAAATGTCAGTGGGCTGGAAACACAATTAATATGATCCCTTTACAAAAAGGGCAGTGTATGAGACTGTTAACAGAAGTTAATGTGATTTCTTTGTTAAAAACTTGAGTAAACATGAAAAAATAATTGTGCGACGGTGGGTGAAGATGTTGATACAATAAAGTCAAATCAATTCAGATTTAATTTTTTATGCCCCCGTAAACGAAGTTTCGGGGGTATATAGTTTTTGTCGTGTCCATCCGTCTGTCTGTCTAGCTGTCTGTCAGTCTGTCTGTTTGTCTGCAAAAACTTGCCCATAACTTTTGATTTAGTGGAGCCATGACTTTCATATTTTACACATGTATTCCTTGTGACAAGACCTTTCTTTGGGTACCACCAAATTTGACCTTTTGACCTTGACCTTGGAGTTTGACCTACTTTTACATGAAAATTTTAAAATTTTTCTTTGGCTATATCTTTTGAACAGTAGACACCAGGACATTTATACTTCAAACATGTATTATTTGTTGAAAGATCTTTCATTGGATAAGAACAACCTTGACCTTTTGACCATGACCTTGTAGACCTTGTAGATTTCTGTACCTGTGAGTAAACTTTAACCTTGGCCATAACTTTTGAACGGTAAGAGAAGGGATTTCATACTTCATATATGTAATCCTTGTGAAAAGACCCTTCATTGAATATCAAGCACTTTGACCCTTTGACCTTGACCTTTGAGTTTGACCTACTTTAAAAAACCAACCTTAACCATAACTTTTAAAGGGATAGGGCTAGTGCTTTCATATTTTACATATTTAATCCTTGTGACAAGACCTTTCATTTGATAACAAGAACTTTGACCCTTTGACCTTGGAGTTGACCTACTTTAAAAAAAAATTAACCTTTGCCATAACTTCTGAACGGTGAGGGCTAGGGCTTCCATACTCTACATAAATATTCTATGTGGCAAGACCTTTCATTGGATACCAATTACCTTGACCTTGGAGATTTTTGTACTTATTGAAAAATCTTAAACATCGGCCTGCTTTCAATTTTCACAATTGTTTTCCAGTGAGAATACCCTACTTTTGGTACCAGTTAATATAATTTTCATTTAAGAAAAGTTTAATCTTTGTTATGTTGCCATACGGGGGCATCAGTGTTTCACAAACACATCTTGTTTTATTTTAATATAAGAAGCCGATTGATTCCTCTCCGTAAACAAGGTCTTATAATGATTTTAAAACGGAAAGTTTGGAAAGTGAAGCTGGGGTTGGCGGTATGGCGATAAAACTTGAGAACAGGTAGACGGTCAGGGAATTGTCAGGTGAAATTGACCACCTGTACATTTGTTCCTGTATGTCCTACCCTTTTGTTACTCACCTGTCCTGACATTCTTTGACCACGGCAAAGTTTCCCTCCCCGATCACCCGTCCTACGTCATACTTGGCTCTTAGGGCTGCCGGACCATTCTCTGACTCATCTAAGGGGGATTATTTTAAATATAATTTTTTTAGGTTGATAAAATAAATAAACCTTATACAAAAATTTAAAAAGTCATTAAAAGTGAATAATCTAAAATTCAATGATATTCCTTACTAACATTAAATAGTTAAATAAATTTGTTTATATAACGATGCTCTTCATTTAAGGTAAGTCCATACTTTCAGAATTTTCTGTCAAAGTGTTTATTTTTCGATTTGAAAATCTTGAATAAGTCATAATCTAAAAAAACCACCCATAAAAAACTTATCTTTGCAGGTTAATTTTCATGCAACATGTCTTGGAGTATATACCTCTAAAACTTCAACAGCCAACATTCAACATATAGAACTGTAACATCATATTTTATTTAGCAATGTACCAAATCACATCCAATTATTGTTAAAACT